CCTTGAAATTACGTCATATTTTGCATCATCAAAGGGGAGTAAACAGAATTTCACGATTTTGCAATTTTTAGAGTTGTTGTTCTTTTAAATAGACTTCAACAGAACGAGTCAGACCTAGGTAAATTTGTCAAAGATTGATAATTGTAAAGAATTTTTTAAAAATTTTTACTTCAATGTTTGTAGAATATTTTTTAGAGTTGTTTCTTACTAGTTTGTTTATTTCACCGTACATCGGACACAAATTAACCATGCATCGGACACTTTCTGATTCATGGGTAATCCCTTCCATTTTCATTTAAAACCCAAATGACAGCTGTTTTTTGCGGAAATAGAAAATAAAAACTCTAAATTTTCAACGAAAATACAAGTTATTGATATATGACTACTAGAAGTGGACTCAATTTATTTTTTTAAACTGGATGATGATAATCCATGAGAAAAAGGCGCGAGATGGCATATTACTAGCATTGTAACGCCTTTCTAAGGCGAAGTGATGCACCTAAAATCTCTTAATGTTTGTGGATCGAAATAGTCATTCAAATTTAACTATAAGGTTAATTATAAATAAAAGATGAAAATGTTTCGACATTACTAATTTTAAAGCATCGAGATCAAGGTATAATATTTTTTCGGTTCAAAATACCCTATGTCTGATGCATGGTGAATATCATCCGAACCATGGTGAATTTTGACTTATTTCGAAAAAAACCGTTTTTTAAGCGACATTTTCTCAATAAATAACACACGATTGTGTCAAAAATTTATATTTTAACCGCACACTACATGTTAATCTCCATTTAGATAATATTCGGTAGGTAGCGATATCGCTTAATCTTGTTGAAGTGCGAGGGTGTCCAATGCATGGTGAATTCACCCTAAACAGTTTTAAAAAAACATTACTGTATAATCCCTATTAACAGCCCCTGCCCCTATAAGCGCCCCTAGGTCTTTTTCAATTGTCAGGAAATAAGGCCATCTGTACAGTGATTAAAATCATCTAGATTCGTATCGAAAGTCCGCCATAATTTGAAGAAAGTGAAAATGAAAATTGGTTATTGGGTAACTTGAACGTAAAGTATTCCTGAAAGTGAAAGATTTTTTAGAACGACCTAATCATTATGTATTTCTGAAAGTGAAAGTTACCTACAAAATTTGTTCTCCTTGTGTATTCTCTAATTTCTCAGGGGAAAAATGAATCATATAGCATAATTTTGATGGATTATCTTAACTTAAAGGAAAGTTAGACAATCTTTTAGTGGTTCTCTGAATTAATTTTTTTTTTCAAAAGATTTTTTGAAGTTAAAATACGACATAAAAAATTATAACTAGAATACCAAAATAACTGCCCCCTTTTTGCAATTTTCTAAGCCCCCGGGGTGGTTAATAGGGATTATACGGTATTGGTAAATCAAACACCTCCTTTCTTTTTTATTCATAAAACTGAAGATGCACTGAAATGTTTAAATTTTTTTTATTACATTTATTTCGGTGAAAAAACAATAACAATTTAAAGTAAATTACAGTAACATAGCTATCTTGATTCAAGACTTAAGTAAAAAGGTTCGCTTTAAAGTAAAACACTTTCCTTTTACTTGAACCAGTGTTCATATACTAAAATCAGTGATGTAAAACTTACCTGTAAATGTTGCAGGTCATCTTCTTGTATGTTGTGCGTCAAATTAAATACCTACAAAAGTGTACATGAATGTTACAATCTTTTTTTTTTGAAACAAGACTTGTTTTGAAACAAGAGGCCCAAGGGCTTTAACGGTCACCTGAGTTATTTATTATCAGAGGTGAATAATCAAAGGGGAATAACTTCTCTCAAAGTAGAGTAAAAATTTCCCTAAATGGTTTACAGAGTGATCTACCCTTTCTCTATGCATACATCACCTGAACTGAACTAAGCATTGTACTGAGGGCAAAAATAGTGGCACAGTCCCTCACAGTTGACTCGCTGTCAAAAGCCCCCTGGGTATCCATCAATAGGACAGCAACCTGTGATAATTCAAGATAAGAGAACTCAAAAGCATATTCTAATATATAAAGTTAACATACATAAAGTTAACATATATAAATTATTTAGTTCAATCTTCCTCTTCTGCTGATTAACACTATCAAAAAAAATTGTCTCTTAAAAACCACAAAACCTAATTTTAAACACGAAATAGGATGTACATGAATTAGCCAACATGAAGTGGGGTAAAGTTGCTCAAATATCATTATTGCTAAACTTAGTACGTTTACAGTAATAAATTATGACTGTAATCAGTCAGGGGCATAATGCAAACAAGTTATTGTCAAAAATAACTCAAATGAGTTATTTTTTTGTCACAGTGAGTTACCTCCCTTTGCTATGACCTAATTTTTCCCAGCATTAGTAACTCAAACACCTTATCTTTCCAAAATAGTTTCAATAAATTAATAACTTGTTTAAGTTATTTTGTGTCATTCCTCCCTAACTTCACACCCTGTGCACCAAAGGTTTTTGCTCGTGCACCAAGACAAAAACAAATGTTTGATAAAATTTAAGCCTTGCTCAATCCTGAAAAAATGTTCAAAGTCTTGGGAAAATTGGGGAAAGTTTTTTATTTAATGATAAAAACTGGACATATAAACCATGTAAATAAAACCACAAAATAAGGATTAAAATGCTGTTTATCTCCACCTCCTCACCAATTCTCTTTTGGAGTCGGTGCACTCCATCTAGTATTACATAATGGAATCCCAAAATGCAATGCATATTGGCAGGAAATACAAAACTCCCAAGAAATCAATGTCCAAGTAGGATATAAAAATAACTTTAGTTATTATTAAAAAAAATTTCGTGTGTGTAAAATAACTTAATTAAGTTTTTTTTTGATAACTTGTTTGAGTTATACACCTGACTGGTAATAATTATAAACTTCATGATGTCTTCATGATACATTATTTATCCTTGCTTATAAGACTCACCTCTTCTCCGGAGGGAACTTTACAGATAAAAGGTTCACTCCACATTAAAATTCCTGTGGTCTCCCGCTCTGACCCCCCTCTCCAAGTGAACCCCTCCAATGGGGAATCATCACCTCCTAGCCAATTAGGGTGTCCCTAAAGAAGTATCAATGTCATATTAGTCTGTTCTATCTTTAAACAATCACCTAGTGTAATCATAAAAAAATATGATAATCCAACAAATAGCAGTCTGCAATCAAATTAAAACCAATAAGGGTAATCAAAGGTGACATTTTTTTTTTCAAACAAAAAAAAAAGTGAGAGAGAATTGTATTTTTTTAAATACAATATTATGCTTAATCTGTTATTGGATTACAATAATTCAAAATTCTATGCCTTATCTAACCTCCACATTCACATGTATAAAATAATTTAAGAACTGTGAACAGAAATTGGTACCTTAGCATTCAGATATCTGAGGAAGAAGTCTAGGAGAAAGGATTTTCCCTTCCTAAATGCTCCAGCCACTGAAACAACCACTACTTTCTTCTCCTGAATTCTGGGATCCAGAAGAATTTTGGCAAGTTTCTCTTCGTCTAGTTCAAAGAAATGTAGTGTTTTTTCTTCCTCTTCTTTTGTTGTTGCCCTGATGATCTGTACAGGTTCTCCATTTAGTCGCGACCCACTGGCCGAAACTGAAGAAAAGCAAAATACAGTTACTGTATAATCCCTATTAACTGCCCCCAGGTCTTGTTCAATTGTCAGGAAATAAGGCCATCTGTACAGTGATTAAAATCATCCAGAATCATATGGAAAGTCTGCCATAATTTGAAGAAAGTGAAAATGAAAATTGGTTATTGGGTAGCTTGTTCATAAAGTATTCCTGAAAATGAAAGATTTTTGGAACGACCTAATCATTATGTATTTCTGACAGTGAAAGTTACCTACAAAATTTGTTCTCCTTGTGTATTCTCTAATTCTCAGTGGAAGAATGAACCATATAGCATAATTTCGATGGATTATCTTAACTTAAAGGAAAGTTAGTCAATCTTTTAGTGGTTCTCTGAATTTATTTTTTTTCAAAAGATTTTTTGAAGTTAAAATATGACATAAAAAAATTATAACTAGAATACCAAAATAACTGCCCCCTTTTCGCAATTTTCTAAGCGCCCGCAGGGTTTGGCACTAAGGCACGTCAGACCGACCCAGTCTAGTAAATGAGTGGTCCGGTCGTGTGAATTGTACGTTAACTAGACTGATTGGTCATGTTGATAAAATAGATAAAAAACCCATTTCAGTCTTTCAAATAAATATTCCAAAACTTTTCAAGAATTTTTCTTAATTTATCCGATTGTAAACACAGCCATTATTCCGTAAAAAAAAAAATCCCAGTATGACACAATCGCTACTTTTAGTCACCGTTGTAATCGACAAGTTGCGTTAGAAATTAGCGCCATTCAATATCAATATATGGTATAAATAGTTACTAAAAATATATTCTGCAATTAATTTAGTAATATTAAAGCTTACAATATTCGCAAGTCTTGATGAAACAAACTCAATTTGCTAGTCGGTCAAATTCTTGACGCGCGAGAAACGATTTCAAAATTATTCAGATTTGGTCAGGGCTAGTGATTTTACAGTCAGGGCTAGTAAAAATTATGGGAAGTAGCCCGACTAGTCTAGTACTCGTAAAAGTTAATGTTAAACCCTGGCCCGGGGCGGTTAATAGGGATTATACGGTAATAAAAACTTGCATAATAGCTATAGTTGTCCAATCTATTATTTATTTAAGTACATTAAAAAAAGCACATCTTATGATATAAAAAGTAAAAATATTTAAAATGCATGCATTATTTTCAGGATGAGAAATTTCATTTATAATATACTGAAAGTCTGTCAAAGCATATTGTATATCAGCTGAATGTTTAAATCCTCTGAGGTTATGTAATTTATTACTCTAATTAAATTAGATCCAGAGTAACAGTTTCCATTTGTTTGAGGGATACAGAGAAGGGCTTAAGAAGAGAACAACAATATGAGCCATGTACTTAGATTTTCTTTGTACGATCTATTTCTAAACTGAGGTAGGCTATTGACAAATAAGTTAATGTTACAAGGGCATCAACAACACTTTGCAAATTCTATGGTTGATATAATGACTTCATTTGCAAATACAAAACTTCGTTAGATTGAATGTTGACTGACAAATTTTTAATACAAATTGATAGGCCATTGTTTTCATACTAAATAGTCTACAGATTACTATGTACTAATGTCTCACTGCTGGTGTGAATTGTCAATGGGGGATGCTTACTCCTCCATGGCACCTGATCCCACAACAACTAATAAATGTATTCAAGGGTCAAAGTTTGCTCTGCTCTCAATTTGTAATGTCTAATGGGACTTAAGAGCATGAATAGTGTTCATTGTCTTCACATTTTACTTTGCGTTTACTTGCATTTTTATAATTTAGTCTATGAATTTAGTGTAAAACACTTTGATTCATTAAAATAGTATGGGAGATGTACTTAAAGTCAAGATCTAGTAAATGAAAGGAGCCTACAGATTTCTCTAACTGTTTGGTCACAAATTAACTGTTGTATATGACCCAAACTTCGAATGCAATTGTGCAGAAAAAGACACATTTTCAAGAGTGATTTTTTCATGAAATTGTTATCATATGAGTTTAAAGTTGAAAATTATCACTGCATCAAAGTGCGATTTTCTGCACATCCCTAGAAAAATGCTAAGTTAAGAAATATGTTTGATTTGGTAGCTAAATAAAGCTACTTCAGGTAGGCAAATAAAGCTATGTAGTTAATTCAAGATACGTAGCAAAATCTAATGATTGTACCTGTGTACCAGATCTGTCCTTAACAATATATTTTTGTAAAGCCAGGAAGAAAAACAAAGATTTTCTATTCATCCACAGGGGCTTGCTCCCGGCGTGTAATAATTATTTATTTTAAAAAAAATCATACACGTTAATACTAAAACTACACTGTAGTTTTAGTATTAACGTCTATGATTTTTTTTTATATAAATAATTATTACACGCCGGGAGCAAGCCCCTGTGATTCATCATAATAAAAACGGTTATGAAAAATGTGACACAAGAATCTCAAAGACACGATTAAATATAAAATTGAAAGAAAAAAAAATCATCTGTTCAGTGTTATGAAGAAAGTAAGACGTAAACGGGGGACGTCACGGGGGACGTCAACAGTGGCAGCGAGTGGGTCACAACCGTCGTCGAACTAAATATGTAGAATCTATTTCACTATAATTTATACATTTGTGCCTTTAATGGAAAATAACTAAACCAAATAAGAACAAGGGAAATTCGTGTAACCTTTAAAAATTGAAATTACCTGGCGCTAAATTGTCGTTTGCCATTTGGTTTTGGTTTCCGATGGTAAATGAATGATATGTAACTTCCGCTTAAATTCTTGCTAAGTAAAGTCTAGAGAAGTCCCGACTTCCGTAATTCTCGCGCACTGACTGTGACGTCACGCACTATTTTTTACCATACTAACCAAAAAATATCAATGAGCAGAATTTAAAAACTTTGTTTTATTAAGGTTAGCCAGTTATTTAGGGAAAAACAAGCAAATATTGTATCAAATAGAATAAACAGATAGATAATGAAATTTACATTGAAGATATTAAAAGAATATATACTAATTTGACGGATCTATATTTTATAATTTCTGCTTCCGCCTTATAAATAAGCAATAGGGCACGAGTAAATACGTTCAGCAACTTGGAAAAAATAATGACATCTTCATATTCAACGATGCAGAATAAACATGCATAAGGATTAAATGAGTAAACAGGTTAGCAGAACAAAGGTTTATGTTGTTAACCAGATGTTGGCAAAATTTAGTTTGCAAATGCTTAAAAACAGTTGCATATTTGTCACCGAAACTTCACAACGATTTGCTACTTCTCATATGTTGCTTCCCCTTAAGAAGCTTTGTAATCATCGTCATTTGAAGCATTGTGTATCTGTAATGTTTTTCACTACGTTAGAGTAGCTGCAGTTTAATTACAGCGGCGTATTTTTAAATGAATATAGCTAAGTACAGAATCCCGTATTTATCATTGCCATGGCTCAAATGCAACAGATAGACTGGAATTTCACCACAGTGATATTGCTATTTATTAATGTAAGGATCTTGAAAGCATTAGGCCTTAAAAAGAGTAGTTATGAAGGATGCCTGTCAACTGTATCTATACATATCATATTGGTGTACATTCTTTCATTACTTTTACTTTCATCTTGAATTAAAAAACATTTTAAAATAATCATAGTGGTTTATGTATAATTCAGGTGATTGATATCAGAATTATACCTGAGTATCGTAAGCGACCTCATGATATGATACATATGATGATACGGTGATGCAATACAACATGTATCATGATAGAGATGTCAACAGTTGAATATACTGACAACTATATATAGGTTTAATTACTTCTAAAGTAACAGAATATATAAAGTAAATATCTCAACATCTTTTCCCCATACTTTGATTTGAATTATAAAAACTTTTGACAATTTATCTTATTTTTGTAATGTTAAATTTATTAGGTGGAATGTAGATTTATCAAGAAGCACACTGAAAATTAACTCATACTGTATTGCTATACATACCCGATGATACAATCTCATATGTGAGCTTTGTAATTGATACGATTGTTACACTTCTAATCAGGATGTTGTCAGACTTATTTCTACTTCATTTAGGCATTAGATAATAATAGTATTGGTACTAAACTGTTAAAAGACTGTTAATAATGCTACTAGACTGTTAAAGTTTAATATATTTCAAGAACCAAAAATGTTTTCTTAGCCTGGAAAGTGCCCCCCCCCCCCCCCCCCCCCCCGCTCTCTCTCTCTCTCTCTCTCTGTATATAAATTATATATTTTATGAATCGTGCACATATACCATTATTAATCTAGCTAATACATCAACCCATCTAACAATGCCCATAAAATTATCCTTATTATATAATACCTTTCAGAATTTTTTTTTCAGTTCTGCATTTTTGTAACATAAACATTGTATCTAATGTGTTTGTATTATTTTTCCATGGATTTCAAAATTGTTGATTGGATTTCCTTATTGGAGTTCTTTCAATTCTTTGGTAACCTTTTTAAGGAAACCATCCATGATTATAATAAGTAAGGGTAAAAGTGATTAATTCTTGGAAAAGTTGTCATATGAATGAATGTATGAAATAGCAGTAGTTTTGATGAGGTCTTCCATTAAAACACTGGTGGACATTGATAGCAGAAAAGGGTTATCAGCTGACACTGCTCACTGTAAAAAAAAAAGAAGCAATTTATTGTTTTGTATCGAAATTAAAAAGCATGAATGCATTGATTATTTTGGGATTTTAGGTTGTCAGAAATTAAGTTAAAGTTAGAAAAATTTAAAATCACCCATCAAACTCTAATTCTGAATAAATGATAAATAATGGGACTCGTAATTTCATTCCTCTTTAAACCCTCCCCCCCTCCCCCCCCCCCCCCCCCAATACACACACACATAAAAATTCTCCTGGCCTTGGAGTTCAAAGTTAACTCAACAGACAGTCCACACAAGTGTGACACTACTATTTATTTGTTCCCTCCATAGGCATACATATTTTATTATTCACTGATGTGAAGAAAGTAGATGGGTGAACAAGGTGTGCAGAATGCCTATGGCTTTGGATAGGTAAACATCATATTCAATTTGTGAATTAAGTATTTAGAGTAAAGTTATATTTATTGAAATTTATGAAATTATGATCAACAAAATGTTTCTAAGGACAATTTTCTTGGCAAAAATTATTCTGTTATTAAAAATAATATGGCATTCTTGGGGTTCAAACCCCTAGCAATAAAAGTCCTGGGAATCATTTTCCTTTGAGACTAACATGCTAACCACTGATGAATAGTGGCATTTAAGTATGTTTGTAATATGACTCTTGACTAAATGGACTTCCAGGTATTTCTCGGAAAATGCCGATGTGTCATAAAAGTGTATTTTTAAGGTGTAGTGGGTTTTTGCTCAATGTTTTTGTTAACCAAAAAATGTATATTTTTACGCAAACTTTGAGGATAAACTTTCAAAAAAATGGAGCGAAGACCCACTTCGTGTTAAAGTATAAGAAATGATCTTTTTTGTCCTTTTTAGTGTGTGTACATGCTATTTCATAGGCAAATTATTTCAATCTTTGTGAGATCTTTGCAAATTTCAGAAATCTTACATAAAGTATACTTTAATGCCTTAGATGAAATATCAGAGAAATTTTGCTATAATTGAGATTTAATTTTTCACGTTCATGCTTGTTGCACTATAGGCACTTCGCTCGCCTTGTTCGCCCATCTTCTTTATGAAATGTATCAAGATAATCATTTTTTTTAGCTCACCTGAGCTTTCAAGCTCAAGTGAGCTTTTCTGATCACCCATTGTCTGTCGTCTGTTTGTCTGTGTGTCAATCCCTTCATCCATCTGTAAACTTTTCATATTTTCAACTTCTTCTCAAGAACCACTGGGCCAATTTTAACCAAAGTTGGTACAAAGCATCCTTGGGTAAAGGGGAGTTTAAATTGTTAAAATGAGGGGCCAAGCTCTCAAGGGGAGATAATTAAGAAACTACAAAAATTGGGTGGGGTCATTAAAAAATCTTCTCAAGAACCATTTGGCCAGAAAACTGAAACTTATATATGGAAGCTTCCTGGGGTAGTGTAGATTCAAAATTGTTCAAATCATGACCCCCAGGGGTAGGGTGGGGCCATAATAAATATTACAAAGAGAAAATCTGGTGAAGAATAACAGGGCCAAAGTTTCTCAGGTGAGCATTGTGGCCCATGGGCCTCTTGTTTTTTTCTTCTCTTTATATTGATTTTATTTACCTTTCTGAACTAACTGTCATCATCATATATATTTTGCTTTAATTCATTGTAGCATGATATTTTGCTTCATGAGGTTCCCTTTGAGTTCCTTTTGATGTTAACAGTATATTCAAAACAGCAAAGTAAATTGTGCAGTGCTTGATTATTTTTTTTATAGGTAAAATTTTAATGCTTGACTGTAGTCAAAGCTGTTCTCTGCATGTTGCATGCACAGAATTAATTTTATAAATATTTCATGGTTTGAATGATTCAAGAATACTTTTTTTTCAGAAGGGGTGGGGGTGGGGAGTTGAAGGGTGCTTGGGGGGGGGGGGTCATAAAATTTCATGATAAGTTTCTGAGCAACTGATTGTGCAGCTTTCAGCTTTTGTTGCTTCAAAATTATTTGATCATGTACTGCATCTATTAAGTTATCACCCAAAGCCTATTGAATTGATTTAAAGAATATGGTCATTGGTCACTGAAAATTAAGTTTAAACAAATTGGAATTCATGTCTGCATACTCATCTTAAATTCAGATATGTCAAGTGTATCTTTTATCTGAATGGAAGATTAAATTTTGTGAAAATGAAATGTAAAACTCGCAACCATTCTTAAAAAACCATTCTGAAGTGGGAATAGGACATTGGTGAGGGGTGATGATAAAGCTGAATCCGGTGGAATCATTTTAATTCATTTTTGGCCAATTTTTGTGGAAAGCTTAAACTTCACAGATTTTTAAGGACATTCTTTTAAGGACAAACCTATAGATTAATGTATGCAGAGGCATATGGGTAAGAGGTTTGCCTGAAATCCTCAAAAATGGAACCCCCACAAAAGTGTAATGATTCTACAGGATGGATTTTAATTTTGCATGAGTGGTATCATTTAATACTTCTTTCTTTTTCTTTATCTTTTATTAGGTTTTCTTCATTCTGATGATCATGTTGTATTGAAAGCATTCCAATTCTTCCTTCCTTGTGGACCTTTCCAAAGCCTAGAGAATGTGTCCACTCCTACCACTTATACTCTAACAAATTCATCTTGCCTCATCATCCACATCCACTATGAATCCACATCACCATGTTTCCACTTCCAATCTCTTCATGCCAGAAAAAGGAATTTCTCCCCACCAGGGTGGAAATTCTGCCATTAACTACCCACCTACTTCTATTTTAGGGGGATACTCCCTAACAGATAACCAGTTTCACATTCGATTGCCCATCAAAGAAGACATGGGTGAACCAAAGCATGACCATGCCAAAGTAGATTTGTATTCCATGGCGGAGGATAAAACTGGCTTAGGGGTCATGAACTCTTTTCCTGACTCTGGAGATCAGACCAGTCCTATAACACCCGTGCCAAGGTCTACACCACATATCCATCCATATCGTCCCTCCGCAAATTCGGGGGACGCAATGCTCAGTGCCATTAACTACAATGAAAACGAAATCTTACAAGACGGACCATTCGATGTGTCGGTGGCAGGGACCCTTCCAAATCTGGATGATGGCATGATTCTACCCAACATGGGGACACAGGATCTGTTTGATGGGGAGGGTAATATGGATGAGCCGTACGACATGGACGAGACGTTTGGAGATCCGAGTCCCGGGTTGGTGGGTGAAGGCAATCTGGGCTCTGTTATCGACCCTGATGGTCTCAGCATAGGTAAAACTCTGGAACTTTCTCATCTTCTTTAGTTCATCTCATTGAGTTGAAAGCCTTGAATATATGCTTTTTTGTCTTGGAATTTTTATCAAAATAAGAAAAAATGTTCAAAATATACTTTTATTATGTATACCAGTGACATAGAATTTTATAGATATATGCATGTATACAGTGCCCAAGTATGATTTGTGATTTCATCATGTTCATTTTCATTCTTTAATAGCTTACAAGTATTGACAAAGTTTTGGCCATTTTCAGACCCCAGACTTGCTGAGGGAGTCAGTAAGAAGAAAATAAAGGCCAAACAGATGAAAACTCCTCCCCAAGGATCCCCCGGTCGCAACTCCAACCTTCTGATGTGTACTACGTGTAACAAATCATTTAACAACACTAGTGCCTTGGCAAAGCACAGACTTACTCACAGTGATGAAAGAAAGTATGTCTGTAATTTGTGTCAGAAGGCCTTTAAAAGACAGGATCACTTGTGAGTATACAAGAAATACATTCATGAAGTTTGATGCATTAAGGTGTTATGTATTTTGGCATTTTCCTTTCTGGTAAAATGTTTTAATCCCTCAAATATTTCTTAGTTTCAAAAACATTCTCCAGATTGAATATTGTCTAACCAGATGAAACATTTTAAAAAAAACCATTGATGGCCATTTTTGATAGATTAAAAGGAAAGTTTTGTTGACCATGATTTTTTTCCTGTTTTTAGGCTTGGTATTCTCTTTGTGTTTGACCTTTCTTTACAAATTATTGGATTTTGGGAAACAAATAACAATATTCTGCAAACGTGCATGTTTGCTCTTGTTTCTAATTTTAGAAATGGTCATCTGATGACACACAGAGAGAAGAAACCGTATGAGTGCACTGTGGAGAACTGTCAGAAGAGTTACTGTGATGCTCGATCACTGCGGCGTCACCTGGAGAATCACCACAACCAATCTCCAGAGCAGATCCAGGAGGCTATAGCTAAAGTGGCACAGAATGCAGCAGCAGTGATAGCCGCTGCAGCTGCCTCCAACACCGCCTCCATCAAAGCTTCTGTCACCTCCACACAAACCAGCCCAGGGAGTGGCAGTGCCTCTTCTGCAATATCAGGCAGTTCTGTGGGAAATCAGAGTATCCATAGTGATGTAACATTACCAGCTATTGAGGGAGGGGGTTATAGTTCACAGTATGCAAGTGAAAGTTCTACTCCTGTGACAAGCCCCACTTACGGTGTGCCGCATGCACCACAAACAGCTTTTCAGTATGAGCAACAGCAACCACAAGGAGGAGGTCAGGGTGGCCAACAAGGGGGGTTGGGAGAGCTAGAACAACAACAGGTGCAGGTCTCGCAACAGCAGGCAGTGCAGGAATGGCAGCTTAAGTTGCAACAGGAACAAGAACAGCAGGCAGCCCAGGCCTTGAAAGAACTTCAACTAATGAAATTGCAACAGCAACAACAGTTTTCACAGCAACCTATGTCATCAGAGTCTGCAATGTTTGGAATGCTTGAATCACAACAGCAACATGCGGATCAGCAGGCAGTGCATGACCTGCAGCTGAAAATCCAACAACAGCAACAAGCTGCACAACAGGCTCAAATGCAACAGCAGCAGCAGCAGGTCTCCCTGGCATCTCAGCTGCAACAGACGCAGCAAGCCCAGTTGCTGCAGGCTTCACAAATGCAGCAACAAGCTCAAGAGCTTCAGCATCAGTTACAGATGCAGCAACAACAGCTGCAGGTAAGTTCAGTGGTATTGCAGTGTTAAAAAATATACCTGTAGTATTACATGTACATGTAAATCTTGTACGGTACCAATTTTGATGCACCAAATGCGCATTTGGACAAATTATGTCTCTTCAGTAATGCTCATACCAAAACGTTGGAAATCGGAAATATTTAAATTGAAAAAAAACTTTGAAGAGCTGAAAAAAGGGCTTGAGCTTGAAAAAGCTGAAAAATTTTGTACATCTGACATTTGTTGTGAAGCAGGTCACCTATTAGCAATTGTCTTTAGAGATTTTTTTCATTTCTTCATGTGTATGTATTTGGAAGTGGCAATTGTTTGTTTGAAAAGTCTATATGTGTATACCGGTATACAGAGGGTGAAGAGAGTATCTACATTGAAATTATATATCTCATTTATAATGCAGTGTATATGATTTGTGCATGAAGTAGAATTGGTTTAGAGTATTTAACTTTATTGAAGGATATAAATGAAAGTTTGTTGATGGACATAGTTCATTGATTCCTGTTTTAGGCTATTGCCAAGGAAGCTATGGATTCTCAAGGAATGCAGCAGTCAGTAGGATTTCCAGGCCAAGCCTGGCAGGTATGTGAGTTTTTGACAGCTGGTTGATATCATATAAATACTGAGGGTAACATCAAAAATTTTCAGCCCAAGAAAAACATTGTCAACCGAGGCACAGGATACTTGGTTTACTATTTTATAACTAAAAGCATTGTCTGCAATCAACAGGTGTCTTCACTGAATCCTGGGGTAAAGCAGGAAGCAATGCCTCCAAGTTCAGGGGAGGAACAATCATCTAATTATCTAGGGCAAGTCAGCCCAATCAGCCCAGCCCCGGCCCAGATACCAAATGCAGCCCGCTTGATCAACCCCTTGAGTGGTGGTTTACCTCGTGGATTCCAACCAAATGGGAACGACCAAAAATTAATGTATGTTGGGTGGACATTTGAAAACTTGTGCTTGTGTTTTGTACTTTGAGTTGATCATGTTGAAGTACTGTAAATTATTTTTTATTCACATGGACTTTATTTTCGTGTAATTTCGTGATACGGTCTGTTCTTTTACTATTAAAGATAATAAAGAGCAATAACCAAAATTCATGAAAATTTTGTTTTGCTTATCATGTTAATACCAAACACCAATCTCGTGAAAATTAAGTGATCTGCAGTAATGTCTTTGATACCTTTAAAGATCTAGGAGATTGTATTTACATATGCATGTATTATTCCTGCATGATTTCCTTCTAGACTAAATAGAAATTAAGAAATTTGGACTTGCATAAATTACCTTTAAGTTCTGAAATGAAAAAAAATCTTTATTATTCCATATAATGTTGCTTTTGATATAAGAATGCTAGAAGATTTCTTATTTTCTTAGATTGCAAAATAATACCAAAAGTTCAGTTCATTTTCTTTTTTAGGGATGAATCAAGACCTGTTGTTTGCAACATATGTGACAGAAAATTTAAAAATATTCAAGCTTTAAATGGACACATGAGATTGCATGGTGGATACTTCAAAAAGGTCAGTGTTCCTACATGTATTTACATACAAGACTCAGTATGCAAAATACAAAAGCAAAGTGTGCTTTTATGCTTTATTTACTCGTAATTATAGGCAGGGTTAATTATTAATTCATTATAGCATATTCTGACTTCCCAAGTACCTATATGTGTGTGTATATTGTGGTCCCCTCACAATATTTTCTGTGTGTGTATATATATATATACTAAGGGGAGATTGTGATACATGTGTAGGAGAAAGGTTTTTTTTTTCTTTTTTGAGTAAGGTGCTGCATGATTTTAAAACAAAAATATATTATCTGAAATACATTTCCAAAATTTATTTTCATCAATGCTAGGAAGTAAAAGAAGATAAGAAAACAAAGAAGATGAATCCAATGGTAGCCCCTCCCTCACCTGTGGGGCAAAAACCAGGGCTTCCTGGACAGCCATTCCAGGGGACCATGGATCAAGTCGTGTCCTCCCCAAATCAACACAACCAAAGTGTGTATTTAGTTTGGTTTAATTAAGTAATTTTAATTGTTCAATAGACAATGTATATTATTTATATGTGTGCACATAGAGCATTCTTTTGTGTAAGGTAGGATTTTTTTTTATTATGGGGAAGTACAGTTCAGTGACATGCGATACATACTGTTTATCTTTGTTTATCAGAGATAAAATGAGTGATTAAATTAGATCATGATTGTATTCAACTGAAGTGCAGATGTACAGTATATTATTGTTAAAATGATAGGACTGCTGTATAAATTTTCTGAAAATATTTTTGTATTCTTTTGTGATGTCTATAGATATTATCTGTGGTATTTACAATATACATGTATGTACTATATCTTTTTCAAACATTACTATGCTTTGAAGTTTTTTGTACACTCTCTAAAAGGTTTGATAGATGAGACAATAAACCATGAGTTTTGTTTGATTTTGCAGTGCAATATACCTTACAGTCACCGGTACCTCCCGACTCCCCAATGTCTGACTCCCCTGGCATGTACAAAACAGCCCCTCCCACCCAACCACAATACTGGGTAAGGACCACTGACAGGAAATTTTAACCCTGGTTATATTCTTGTCAGGAAAAAATGCTAATGAAAAGTAAAATGACAATTTTTTTCTGCAAGTTTTATGTTTACTGCTGAAAACTGCTGAATTGTAACACTTTTTAGCTCACTTTAGATGAAGGCTCAAGTGAGCTTTTCTGATCAAAATTTGTTTGTTGTTGTTGTCATTGTTTTTGTTGTCATAAACTTATTACAATTTCATCTTTTTCTCCAGAATCATTGGGCCAATTTCAACCAAACTTGGCACAGAGTATCCTTGGGTGATGTTCAAATGAAAGGCCTTACCATCTTCCAAAGAAAAATAATTAAGAAAAAATAAAAAATTGGGTGTGGTCATTTAAATATCTTCTTTTTTCAAGAACCACTGGGTCAGGAAAGAAACTTGTATGAAAATCTTCTCAAGAGCAGCAAAGTCATGATTAGTCATATTTATCTGGAAGCATCCTTAAGTAGTGTAGATTCAAATTTGTTCAAACCATAACCCCCAGGTGAAGGTTGGGGCCACATGGGGCAATTAAAGTTTTAAATTAAAGTTTTACATAGAAAAACATCTTTAAAAAATCTTTTGCTCAAGAACAGGAAAATCATGATCAGTCATATTTACAGAGAAGCATTCACAGGTAGTGAAGATTCAAGTTTGTTCAAATCATGACCCCCAGGGTTAGGGTGGGGCTACAATTGGTGATCAGAGTCAGAGTTTTAATAGGTACATAAAGGAAAAATCTTTTAAGAAATCTTTTTCTTGTGAACAGGGAAGCCATGATCAGTCATATTTAAATGGAAGAATCCACAGGTACTGTATATTCAAGTTTGTTCGAATCATGACCGGGGAGGGGGCAATAGGCAATCAAAGTTTTACATAGAAAAAGAAAAAAATCTTGAAAAATCTTTTTTTCAAGAGCAGCAAAGCCATGATCAGTCATATTTATATGGAAGCATTCTCAGGTAGAATTGATTCAAGTTTATTCAAATCATGACTCCTGGGGTAGAATAGGGCAACAATGGGCAATCAAAGGTTTACAAAGGAATATATAGGAAAAAGAATGTACTGATGAAGAACAAGTTACTCAGGTGAGCATTGTGGCCCATGGGCCTCTTGTTATTAACGTAAAGGTGTTTTTCTCTTGGTAAAAAATTGCTGCTTTGATTTAATATTTCATGTTTTATAGTTAGGAAATTATTTTTGAAAGAGTTTTCCACGGTCATGTATCAAAGGGCAAGGGCATTATGGCATGAATAAAAATTAATTTCTAGACTTCAAAATAGATATATTGACTATATTTTATGCATTCTTTATCATTGTTGATTCTTTTTCTCGTTTTGTGGATATGAGTGTTACATGGTTGTTGAGTTATGATCTGGTTTTTTACAGGATCAACTTCAGGAACAACAGTTACAGCAACTTTTACAGCAGGAACAACAACAAATACAGAGTAGCTTAGAGCGGCAACAAAAACAGGTCACTTTAAAACACCTAATTTTCATGACACATTACTTTTGTAAGATAGTTATTTGGTATTTATAAGGCAATAAAAAAGTTCTTGGATTTTGGTTAAATTTGTATATAATCTTTAATAAATAAATATAAATACTGTATGTGCGAGAATGGAAGTTTCTCAAGCAGACAGTCTTGTGTAATTACAGGAAATAAAAAATATCTTGCAAGTTAAAGTGGTTTATAGAGCTGATTTAAATTGATTTACTGTAAGTAGGGATGGCAACGAATATTCGAACATTCGAATATTCATTCGATGAGTTGATATTCGAATATGAATTTAAGATTCGAATATTCGGTGTTTTTCAGATTTCATAAAAAGAAGTACTGTGATTAATAAATTTTGATTAGAACAGTGCTGGAATTATCCCTGTTTAATTTACTTGTGATCAGTTTCGATCGCCTGGTTTCTTACACTGCTTTCTTAGCATATAAATCTACTAAATAACATGTATTTTGTTTTAAGTAAGGTGTTAAAGAATTGTACAATAATGCTTTTTGTATAATACAAAACGTACTTTCATAGTTTTCATTAGTTAAATACGATCGGATCTAGAATCGAGGACAACAAATGAAATCTAAGAATGTCTAAAAGGCGTGAAGAGTATACTTATAAAAATAAGATTAATTGATCATTGAATGAATGTCCGATAGAATTAATCGGTAATTAATATTGTAAAGGGCTTAATTTCAGAATAAATGTGTAAATTACTTGATTATCTCGGGTTGTAGATAATCCTGAATTTTATATTCATTATCGGGATATTAGTTAATTACCTAGGAAAATTGTCTAAGGAAATATTTGTTTACATTGTATCAAAGATTATAATCATATCTCTTATCAGACAGATAATTGTAATTTATTACACGTATTGAAATCTGAACAATATACCGTTACGACTATCTTGCCTTTTGTAAGACGACTGGTTCCCAGTTGGAGTTACTGTAAATACACGTTTCATTTGTTAAAATTATACTTTTCTACATTTAAATCAATTATTTATTTCAAACATTGACAAATATCAAATGGAATTGCTTATTGTACACCTACAAAAGTCTTCATACAATTTTACTTCCAAAATAAGTATACCTACGCTAAACCTTTCATGAGAGTAGGATAATGCATATTTAAAATAAAACAGATTTTATTTATTTTATAGAATATATTCGAATACTTTCATTGAATATTCGAATATGAATTACTGACAAAACTGACATCCCTAACTGTAAGTTTATTATATTTGGCTGTGTATTCTTTTAGCACCTGTGATGGAAAGCAGTTTCTTCTTCAAGTGCATCACTAAATGTCATGATATTTATATTCAGAGATGTGCTAAATAAAATCCACGCTAACTTGAAAAAATTTCTGCCAAATATTGTACATGATATATATAACATATTTACAGTAATTTAGTAATGTTTTTAGAATTTAATTGAAAAAGTTGTATATTAATTTGATAACTATTATTCCAGCCTCTTCCTCACAATATTCTTCAGCGCCAAGGCTCGATGGAGACTACAGAGTATAGTTATGATAATGTACAACCATCAGTCACTCAGATGCATGCTCAGAATGCACCACATCAAGCAGTGAGTGCAATGGAAACTCAGGAATATTCCAGCAACCTGGCAGCTCAGGTACAGCAACTTGTGCAGCAACAGCTCCAGCAACAAGAACAGCAACAAAGGACAGTTGAGAATTTTAGTTCTCCGATTCGAAATTCTCACATCAATCTGAATTCATTACCCAATCCAATGAATCCTTCAAATGTGCAGTCCTCATCTAGTTCCCTTCAACCAAAATTTGCTCAGAATCAGTATGGGTCTCAACAAATTAAACAAGAAAGTGGAGGGTTGAAAGAGGCACCACTTGGTGACCCACTTTCCCAGCTTGCTTCCAGTCATGTGACCTTGGTCTCAACCTCCAAGCATCATGGAATGACAGTTGCTCAGCTGCTCAACAGCATGGAAACATCCGAAGGACTCAAACAGTTTGAGTTAGTGGAACCCACTGACTCTACAGGAAATAGAAACATAAATATTGGAAAGGCCAGTAGCTCACAAACTGTTCCAGGAGCAGTTGCTTCCAACCATCCTACATCTATTTACCCTGGGATGGGTCACTCTAACCCATCAGATTTAGGGAAGGTGATGGATTTTAATTCAGCTTTAGATGACATTAATAGCACTATTGCCGAGCATGAGATGAGAGACCGCAGGAAGTCTGAGGAAGGGAGGGATGTCAAGGCAGCAGAAATCTATCCATTTTCATTTCCAAAAGTGACGATCACGGACACTGGGAAAGACAAAAGTGATGTGAAAGAACCTCACAAAATAGAGAAGGGTGATAAACATAAGGAGCTCAAACGCAGACTTTCAGGTAGTGATTATGAGAAACCAAAGATAACTGTCAACTTTGCCACCCAGAAGTTTCCAACCAAAGATGAGTCATTTGTCAAACCCTCTCCGTCCATCTGTAGTCCTGAGACCAAACAGCGAATGAGAAGTAAATCAGGAGACGATTTTAAACTTCTTCGATCGCAGAGTGTGGATAACACGTTTATGAGGCCAAGAAGCAGAACTGAAGCATCTCTGCATAAATTTAAATCCCACGATGGGAATTGGGACTCGTCAAAATTATCGAAGTCTGATGGAGCAGGGCAGTTTAGGAACCCGAATTCCCTGGGGACATTAAAAATGAGGAGGAAACACAGACCCTCTCCTCTCTTTATACCAACCTATCTCAACAATTCGGGATTTCAGAGCAGACTAAGGTCTCCAAGGATTTTACCAGGGGAATCCCGGGGAGGGAATACACCACCTCCATACACCCCTCCCCCCATGTTGAGCCCCATTCGGAGTGGCTCTGGACTTTTCTGCTCTTTGTCAGGGTATATACCAATAACCCCAAAGTCAGCACCTTTGACCCCTAGGAATTCTCTGCTGTTATCAGCAAGAAGTGTTAGTTCCATGAAGTCAGATATTGCGGACATTGCTGAAGAGGAGGAACCCCAGCCAGAGGCGGCAGTAGAACCCCCACCAGAGACTGATGTGCTACCGTGAGTCCATTTTGACCTAGTTTAAATAAAAAACTTCCTCTTCTACTTTCTCTTCATTAATGAATTGATCAGTAAATTTTGTTTTGATAGGGCATTTCTTAAATTATGAAGTCAGGTTCAGTTTAAAGAGCCACATTGGTTTTTGAAAGTTGATAAAGTGGATTTCAGATATTTATAACTTTGAAGTGCAACAAGTAAATAAATTTGATTTTTGAGTTGGAGGGGTGGGTCTGTTTAAAAGTGGAGAAAAGTTATATGTTTAAGAACAAAGTAATATGAGTTGTGCACAATTTACAATCTATTGTTTTATGATAGGCATGTGAATATTGGAAGTCCGTATCAAGCAGAAATACCTCCATTTAATGGTAAGGCAATTTGTTCATGTGAATTAACCAGTATCAGTTTAAAAAAACATTGTAAATGAAAAGCTGTCTATTAATTCTCTTATTTAAGAAAATAGATGACCATTTATAATTCATATCGTTCAGGAAATGCTAAAGGCCTGCAATATATAAAGAAGTGAAAGTATGATGATCTCAGTATTGTTGCTGGCAATTTTAAAATAGCATTTGTGATAAAATGAAACGACAATGGATATTTTGTGTCATTCAGAAAATAGATCTGAAGCCATGAAAGCAGAATGTAAGGAAGAACTGGTTTGGACTCCAGCATCCATGGCTGATAATTCAGAGGAAGATGGTTTGTGTTTTACTATGAAATCACTATTTTTCATGGGAGTTAATTACCCCCCCCCCCCCCAAACGAGGTTAATTTTCTTTTTTCATGGTATGAAGAGAACCTATGACAACTCAGCTCTTCCTCAACCACAAAAATCAAATCCCCACGAACCAATTATTTTTCCCAAACCCCATGAAAATGTGTGATTTTACAGTAATTTGTTTCATTTTCCAACTTTTATTAAAAAATTTGTGGCGTGGATTGATTCAAGTAAACTTGACAGACATAAGGGAACATCAACGAGTACCGAAGTTAAACCATAAAATCAAATGTATAGCTTTTTCAATTCAGTGTTTTTCAATATTGTGGTGATTTCTTATTTGTGTGTGTGTGTTGGGGGGGGGGGGGGGGGAGTCAAATTTCATGGTTTTGGCAAGAAATACTGAGTTGTAAGTATGTAAATTCATGGATAAACTACCTCATCTTATTCAACGAATGGTAAAATAGGTGGTCCAGTGCAACCACAAAAACAACAAAAAATTGATGTATAAAGAAAAATGATGAGACCACTGTACAAGGAATTTAACAAGTAACCTTTTATTTTGTAGTGCAATATTACCAGGAATTCAGCTGTAGTGCTGGTGTTCCAGGAAATGGGTGTAATGTGGAATATGCCTTGCATGTCCTCCACATTCTGAAGGGCGATATCAAGGTACCAACAAGAGGGCAATAGGCTCATTAAGCTTTTTGAATCCAGTTTAATGTATTTTTCTCTTTGTGGGTTTTTGGGAAATTTGTCGTGGAAATTCCTGTCCTTTCTATTGTAGGAAGCCATGTTGAAGCTGATGGAAGGAAAGGTCTCATTACCAAAGAAACACACTCTGTTAGATTATAAATATCAGGGTAAGAAACACGCTATTAGATTATAAATGTTAGATTATAAATATCAGGGTAAGGTGCACTGTTGTGTAATGGGTTTACCCCACAAAGGTGGTTTTCCACAGTGTCCACGGTTTCACTGCATCCTGTCTTCAAGTTGACACTGAAACTATTTGTAGTTAATTTTAACTCTTAGTGTAATGTTGTCTGGTCTGAGGGGTCTGTATCTCAGCCGAAGGCCAGGGTCTGTAGGGGTGGGGGTGGGGATTAAATATGTTAATACTTGTATAAAAATTAACATTTACAAATGATTTCACAAAATGTAGGTATATGTATATGTAATAATGACATGACTATGTTAGCTCATGGAATGTTCATTATTTCAGAAACTGACCAATGGTCCTCAGAAGAAATTGAAAAATATCAACAAGCTCTGTGGAAGTGTGATAAAGATTTCTTTAAAATATCTAAAGAGGTGAGATTGTCTTGGTCTGAGGTTTGTTTTAAGCTATTGTAGATTGAATTGTAAGTAATAGTTGCAGTGGTTTGTGAAAGAACATGAGGAATTGTGTAACAGAACGTAGGGAGCAGTAAATGAAAATTCTCTGTTGCATCTTTTTAAATTAAATTAAAAAAAAAAATACTGAATTGTCATAAAACTGTTGTGCTCATTGAGAGATTTTTTTTGTTTGACTAATTTTCAGATTGGTACAAAAACAACAAAAGAGTGTCTTCATTTCTATTACCTGTGGAAAAAGGTGTGCCCAGATGAACACAAGAGATTGCGAATCATCCGACGGAAGCGAGAACATGATCGTCTGTACAATCTCCGATCTCAGCAAGCTGCAGTTCAAGCTCAAAATCAACAAGCAGCAGCAGCAGAAAATCCTAGTTTCCCAAAACCAGAGGAAAATGATCTTGTTGAGTCTGACTCGGAATCTATCGAGTCCATGGACACAGACAATCAGCCAGTAAGGAAAGCTGTTCTGAAATTTTTGAATTTTTTTGTTTTTTAACTCACCTGAGCCTTTAAGTGATCTTTTCTGATTGAAATTTTTCTGTTGTCTGTTGTTGTTGTCGTAAAATTTTCCCATATTTATCTTCTCAAGAACCACTGGGCCAATTTCATTCAAACTTGCCACAAAGCATCCATGGATAAATGGGGTTCAGATTTGTTCAAATGAATGGCCATGCCTTCTTCCAAGGGTAGATAATTATGAACTCGTGAAAAATTAATGGCATCGTCTAAAGACCACTGTGCTTGATAAGGTAGGTTGGGGCAAAATTGGCTATCAAAGTTTTACATAGGAATACATAGGAATAATCTTTAAAAATCTTCTTCTCAAAAACAGCAAGGCTATGATTGGTCATATTTATATGGAAGCATCCTCAGGTAGTGTACATTCAAGTTTGTTCAAATCATGACCCCCAGGGTGAAATTTTCTTCTTAACTCTTTCCCACTCACAAGCGCCTCTCGACGCCTAGCCAGGATTTCCGCACAAGCGCCTCTCGACGCCCATCCATGATTACTGCACTAGCATCTCTCGACGCCTATACAGAATTTCCGCACAAGCGCCTTTTGACGTCTTGTTATTTTAAGACTATGTGAAAACGAGACTATGACGTCGACAACTTTGGGGCAGATATCAAATTGAAGCGTTATTATTGGCCTACAAAAATAAAGTATGTGCACTGTCATCAATTCACGTGTACCTATAAATAAAGATGGTTTTTACCTTGTATGGTAGGAAAAACAAAAGTTGTTAATTCAAAATGGCGGATTACAAACAATGTACGATGAGATTATTTCTATTCATGCGACGATTTAGATAAACTTTATGGGTTTTAGGATGCTGAATCGAATACATATACAGGTAACTCTTGATGGCTCGAACTTCGATCTCTCGAAGTTCTTGATCGCTCGAAGTGAGTCTACGGTCCCGAATTTTTCCCCTATATAACTAAGCAAATTTACTCTTGATTTCTCGAACTCTTGATCTCTCGAAACCCTTGATCCCTCGAAGTCAAAATGCAGTCCCGCTATGTATATTCTATTAGAATTTACCCTCAATACCTCGAAGTGGCTATGTTTAAACAAGGTTATATAATTAGCACCCTTACCTGGACATTTAAATGGCCCCAGGCAGAAGACACGGTTCTCGAGGAATGGGATGTTTATTCAGGTGACACTTATGCTGCAAGGTGATACTTGATTTATAATTAATCATATTTTGTCTATATGCTGTTTAAATAATTATCATCGACTGTCTTACGATAATTTAGAGACGTAGTGTCAGTGAAAAGTAGTAATTGATTAAAAGACCAAACAGTCTAATTTAATCTCTATTTCGAGTCAGTGTCAAAGTAAAACAAAATATGAAAAAAACAGAAGCAGCCTAGATGTCAATTTGACGACCATTATTGGACAAATACTTACAGAACTGCGTTCAATGATCATGTTTGGAATAGTCAATGCTATGCACGACGCTTTAAAATGTCGTTTCATGTAACAAATGCGTAGTATGATGTCCGTATTACAAAGAAAAAATAAATATACATGAAATGACGATAAACATTTCAGGGTTCGACACTAACGTTAGTCCGTTAGTCTCAGACTAATACATTTTCATTCGGACTAATAAAATTTGTGACTAATTAGTCTGAGCGGACCAATAAAAATTTCTGGAAAACAATATGAATAAATTACTGATGTCCGATTCTCGACAACTTTAACTAGAAAACCCCGCATTTATTTTTAGATTTCTAGCTTTTGGCGGGTAGTTACGCAATTCCGAGTCAATTCCGCGCTTTATTTTTCGATTTCATGATTTAGTATGACACTTTAAAGAAAGACGTTGGACGTTTTGGATGTAATGTAAAGACAAAAAAAAAAAAAAAAAGAACGAGATCGCTAATACGATCGTACTTGCTGATTGCCATCGTCGCAAGCCACGAGTTTTGTGTCCATTCTGTTTCCTCAAATAGAATGGACACAAAACCCGTGGCTTGCGACGATGGCTGATTGTGAGATTTCAATGAATCTGTGGAATAATATATTTCACGTAAATGCTTTGTTTATTTCAAAAAAAGTATAAAACGTATATTAATTGTCACGTTGAATTAATGTTTAAAAACATTTTTTTGACGGACTCATAAAATCGCGTGCGGACTAGTAAAAGTAAAGAAGTACTAGTCCGGCCGGACTAAAGCCTTAAAAAGTTAGTGTCGAACCCTGCATTTGCTTTTCTCAAACTCTTGATCTCTCGAAGTTTTTCCTCGGTCCCGCAGACTTCGAGGTATCGAGAGTTACCTGTATTCATAAAGAATTCATTTGTGCAGAAAAAATTAATTCTGAACATTATAATTGACCAGAAAACCTTCGACATTTCATGGCGTGCGAGTTGATCAGCGTGTGAAAGTCACATGGCCAGTATTCCGTATCCGATTTTTGTGTAAACACAACTGCAATAAAAGATTTCTTGGGTGATATGTTTTATCCAAACATTATTACAAACTATGTGCATCACTAAAATAAAAGTGCACGGCGAATAAATACACAGAAGGGAAAGGAAAACCGTGTCTGGTATAAGATCAAGCAGAAAAGAAGGCTTACTTAGCAAAAAAAAAGAAATTAAAAAGATTTTCTCTGTGTGTAAACTTTGCAGTGTGCATCTATGCAAAAAGTGGATCTTTTCACATACCAAGATAGACATTGAAACCTTTTTATTGACTGTAAGATGATTAAATTCTAAATATTTTGTCATGAAAAATGTGTGTATATACACTGACTCTTGACATTTACCAAACTTTTTCATAGTTTGAAAATAAAGGATTGGCTTTAAATTATCATCATTGTAAAGATGAGATTGTGCTGAAAATGAAAATACTTGGTTTTATATATTTTTACCCAATAATTTGAGAGTAATAAGAATAAATATAAAGCACTGTGATTTTTTTCTTTATTTCTGAAAATGCCTGAGTAAATGGGGTTATCACTGATGCTAGACTGCTGTGGAGATAAGGCTACAGCAGTGGCTTGCTATGGGAGTATACAGTAACGCCTTATCTTAAAAGCTCTGAGGGGGAAAGAGTTAAGAAGAGCAAAGACATTACTTGTCATACTAATTCAAAAGCATCCTTAGGAAGTGTAGATATTATACCCCCCGCCCCCACACCCACCTGAACCACTTTTATTTAACTTTTCAATACTGAACTGCTGAACTGATTTCTGCTTTATCCTAGCCAAAGTGCTCAGGTGAGGAATGTGGCCCCTGGGCCTCTTCTTTTTCTTTTTCTAATTACTTTTTCATAGGCTAATTTAAAGTAGATTTCCCTTGAGTTTTTAAATATCATATTCCAAAGGCTGTAATGGGCCTTTGCAAGGCTCCAAATAAATATGGTATTGTCATGTGCAATGTTAATCAAATTGAAAGTACACTCTACATGTTAGATTCAATTGTGTCATTGAGCTAGTGACATTTATTAGTCAATAAAATCTTGGTACTTTGTAGGATAAAGACGATGTACGTTCTGTTTCGTCGTCTGTGAGTGCCTCACCCGTGCCTACCTATACCTGTGATTACCCAGACTGCTTTGCTGTAAGTCAACTTTCAAATCTTTTATTTTGTGTCTAGTACAACTTGTATTCATGAGAAAGGTGAAGGCATCATTTATTCAATCCAATATTTTTAAGTCTGTGGTAAAAATTTTTTGCACAGAGCTTAAGGCAAATGAGATTTTGAAATTGGTGGTTTTTCATGAATTTTCACATCTTCAGTTCAGATACTCCTCCAAAACCTTTCAACCAATTTGAACTTGACTTGCTACACAGTATTTGTGGGTAAAGGGGGATTCAAATTTGTTCCTCTTGAGATCATAAAGAAATGACTACTGATTTTCATTGACTTTTTTTTTTTACACCATTATTATAATTACAGAGTTTTACTTCTAAGCAAGGATTGAACGGCCACATTCGTATTCATGGAGGAGGGTTAACAACAAAGAACACCACAACGGAGAGTGGTGGATCGCAGGAAGCACGAGGGGCGTCCCAAGAGGCTCGAGGCCCAGGACGACCATCCACTAAAACCTCCAAACCCGCTAAACCATCTCCTGTTAATGATGGGGATGAACCAACAGAAGTATTTCCTTGTAAACTCTGTGGAAGGTACATTTAATTCTGATGTACAGCAAACTGAGAGCTCACCCAAATTTTTTAAATAGTAGACGCCAAGCAAACACAAAGTGAACCCAGGGTTCACTTTCAGGGTTCTGTACATGTCAATCTGTATAAGAGAAATGTTTTTAACTCAGCTGAACTGAAGGTTCAAGTTTTTCACATTTTCACCTTCTTCTCAAGAACCACTGGGCCAATTTCAACCAAACTTGCCACAAGGTATCCTTGGGTGAAGGGGATTCAGGTTTGTTCAAATGAAGGGCCATGCCCTCTTTCAAGGGGAGATCATAAAGAATTAGTGAAAAATTAATAGCATCTTTTAAAAATCCTCTTGTCAAAAACGACAGAGCCAGGGAAGATGAAACTCATGTGGAAGCATTCTCAAGTTTGTTCAAATCATGACCCCCGGGGGTAGGGTGGGGCCACAATGGAGGATCAAAGTTTTACATAGAAATATATAGGAAAAACCTTTGAAAATCTTCTTCTCAAGAACAGCAAAGACCTGATTGGTCATATTTATATGAAAGCATCCTCAGGTAGTGTAGATTCAAGTTTGTTCAAATCATGACCCCCAGGGGTAGGGTGGGGCCACCTTGGAGGATCAAAGTTTTACATAGAAATATATAGGAAAAATCTTTCAAAATCTTCTTCTCAAGAACAGCAAAGCCCTAATTGGTCATATTTATATGAAAGCATCCTCAGGTAGTGTAGATTCAAGTTTGTACAAACCATGACCCCTGGGGGTAGGGCGGGGCCACAATGGAGGATCAAAGTTTTACATAGAAATATATAGGAAAAACGTTTGAAAATTTTCTTCTCAAGAACAGCAAAGACCTGATTGGTCATATTTATATGAAAGCATCCTCAGGTAGTAAAAATTCAAATTGTTCAAATCATGACCCCTGGGGGTAGGGCAGGCCCACAATGGAGGATCAAAGTTTTACATAGAAATATAAAAATTTTAAAAATCTTCTCAGGAACAGCAAAGCCCTGATTGATCATATTTATGTGGAAGTATCCTCAGGTAGTGTAAATTCAAGATTGTTCAAATCATGACCCCTTGGGATAGGGTGGGGCCACAATGGAGGATCAAAGTCTTAAATAGAAATATATAGGAAAATATCTTCTGATGAAGAACTGCAAAGCCATGATTAGTCATTTTGATATGGAAGCATCCTCAGGTAGTGTAGATTCAAGTTTGTTAAAATGATGACCCCCGGGGATAGGGATGGGCCACAATGGGGGGTTGAAAATTTTACATAGGAACATATAGGAAAATATCCTCTTCTCAAGAACTGAAAATCATGTTTAGTCATTTTGATATGGAAGCATCCTCAGATAGTGTAAATTCAAATTCGTTCAAATGATGACCCCTGGGGTAGGGTGGGGCCCAATGGGGGATCGAAAGTTTTACATAAGAACATGCAGAAAAAATATTTCTTCTCAAGAACAGAAAAGCTATGTTTAGTCATATTGATATGGAAGCATCCTCAGGTAGTGTAGATTCAAGTTTGTTCAAATATTGACCTCTGGGATAGGGAGGAGCCACAATGGGGGATCAAATTTTTTCAAAATTTACTCAAGTACAACAAAGCCATTTGTTATATTAACATGGAAGCATCATCAGGTATCTCCTCCCCCCCCCCCCCCCCCCCCCCCCCCCCCTGTAACCTTTTCAATACTGAACTGATTTGTGCTTTTGCCTAGCCAATGTGCTCAGGTGAGCGATGTGGCCCATGGGCCTCTTGTTACTTCTTCAGCAGAACCGCTGGGTCAGTGTCAACCAAACTTACCACAAAGCACTCCTAGGTTATGGGGATTCAAGTTTGTGTACATAAAGGGTCATACCATCTTTCAAACGGGGGATGATGAAGAAATAGTGAAAATTTATTAAGTTCAATTTGTTTTAAAATCTATAAAATTATTCTTCTCAGGAACAGCAGAGGCATGATTAGTCATATTAATATTTAAGCATCCCCATGATGTATGCATTCAAGTTTGGTTATGTCATGACCCCATGTGGATAGGGTGGAGGCACAATATGGGGTCAAAATTTCTGATGTGAAGAAAGAGGGGGGATCTGATGAAGAACTGCAAGGCCAAGGTGTTTAAGTTGAGCATGGAGGCCCATGAGCTTCTTGTTTTATAACCTTACTCATTCTACAGATAAACACCTGAATGTACCTTCCTCACATATACTGTATCAGAAATAAACATTTCATTCACACAAACAGTGTATATACACTGTACATGTACCTGCAACAGGGAAAAAAAACATGCATGTACTGTTAATCACTTTTTATTCGTGAGAACTTAAATTTCATGTAATTTCACGATAACTTCCCCTCGTAAAAATTTCATTTTCACTTGTATTATAAAAGATCATATAAAGCAATTCTCGAAATTCATGAAAATTTTGTCTCGCTTATAAAAAACACCCAGTAACTATGTTGGTGACAAAAATTTGGTGATCTATAGTAGTTTAGAATTGAAGTTTTAAGAATATTTCACCATTTCACTATTTTTCGTAAAACCAGGTTACATATATATCAAGATAATTTGCATGTTGCAGAGTGTTTCACAAAGTGAAGAGTAGAAGTGCCCACATGAAAAGTCATAGGATGGCAGAGAATGAGAAGAACAAAGTGAAACAGAATAACAATGTAGACATATCTTTAAATTCAATACAGGGCTCACCATTTCGGTGAGTCTGGAACATTTCTGGTGCTTTAACAGAAAGTGGCCTATATATCCAGGCAGTCTACCGCTACAAATTATGGCAGCTTCTTAGAAAACGAGGAAGAAAAACATCGTTTTTATTTGTTTGTTTGTTTATTTACATTTATGACATTGGACCACAAGAGACAGGGTAAATGATTGAAAATGCAGGAAAGGAAAGTCACTGTGTCGATTTGAATCTCAAAGATTACGGGTGTCTGTGAATTTTCCTTGGTAGATTTGAAAGATCTGCTTTGGCATACCTTGACGTGGAATCGATTGGTGTTTGTATAGATATATTTTTTATCATTTGACTGCACTGTTTTTACCTCGGTAGTTAAATCTTCAACATTTTCTGCATTTCACCATCATGAATTGGGAATTGTGTTTTCAGAACGTTACAGTTATTTTGTTATTTGTAATCATTTGTGTTTTATCATTAACTTGTTAAGTCACAACTTGTTATGTCACCTGTGGATTTTGTTTTTGTGTTGTTCATATGTAGTGTCTTGAAAAACACACGTAACTGGTCATTTCTCCCACTCTACAGTATTTGGCATTATTGAAATTACATAATTTCCAATTCATCCTTCTTCATTGTAGCCATTTTTTTTAAAAAAAAAATTTAAATCATGGGGAATTAATTTTTACCTTGAAATGATCAAATTACTAATTACAGGCTTTCATTGTTCTCTGTATTATATGTGGAAAGTTTGTATTATTTGAATTGTGGGAAATAATTTCAATTACTACATCTTCCTGAGGACGGACACAGTTTCAGAATTCTCATTCCGTAGAGCTTGTTGTGGCAGATGATATTAAATATCCGGTGATCCAAGTTCAAAGTATGCAGTCGGGTTTGTAGTGGCAGAGTCTTTGGTAAAGACGGAAAGGGTCCAATGCTTCTTCTGTGATTTTGTTACATGTGATTGGTCGATCATTATGTGTCATTGGCATTCCATGGAAGCTGAAATGTACTTATTTCATGTTGTGTAAAGAGTTGTTTTTTTTTTGTTTCAGCATGTTCAGAAAGCATGAAGAAAATGTTCATGACATGTTTTGACTGGGTTTTCTTTGGTACACTTGGGTAGAATCATTTTTATGCCCCGCCATGAATATGGCCGGGGCATATAGTGTTTGTCATGTCCGTCTTCCGTCCTTCCGTCCTTCTGTCCTTCCGTCTGTCCTTCCGTCACACTTTGCGTTTAGCTCTGTTCAAAGCTCAGTTTCAAAGAAACTATCCAAGATATTTTTATCAAACTTCATATGCTGATAGATATTGATGAGGGCTATGCAACTGCATCAACATTTTTTGACCTTGACCTTTCCTTTGACCTTGACCTCACTTTTCTTAAATTAGTGTTTAGCTCAGTTTTAAAGATACCATTCAAGATAGTGTAATCAAACTTCATATGTTGATACATACTGATGTAAGCTATTCAATTGCATCAACATTTTTTTGACCTTGACCTTTCTTTTGACCTTGACCTCACTTTTCTTAAATTAATGTTTAGCTCTGTTTTAATGAAACCATTCATGATACTTTTAACAAACTTCATATGCTGATACATACTGATGAGAGCTATTCAACTGCATCAATATTTTTTACCTTGACCATTCCTTTGACCTTGACCTCACTTTTCTTAAATAAGTTTTTAGCTCAATTTTAAAGATACCATTCAAGATAGTGTTATCAAACTTCATATGCTGATACATACTGATGAGAGCTATTCAACTGCATCAACATTTTTTGACCTTGACCTTTCCTTTGACCTTGACCTCACTTTTCTTAAATTAGTGTCAAACTTAATATGCTGATACATACTGATGAGAGCTATTCAACTGCATCAATATTTTTTGACCTTGACCTTTCCTTTGACCTTGACCTCACTTTTCTTAAATTAGTGTTTAGCTCAGTTTTTTAAGAAACCATTCATAATATTTTCATCAAACTTCATATGCTAATACATACTGATGTAACCTTTTCAACTGCATCAACATTTTTTGACCTTGACCTTTCCTTTGACCTTGACCTCACTTTTCTTAAATTAGTGTCAAACTTAATATGCTGATACATACTGATGAGAGCTATTCAACTGCATCAATATTTTTTGACCTTGACCTTTCCTTTGACCTTGACCTCACTTTTCTTAAATTAGTGTTTAGCTCAGTTTTTTAAGAAACCATTCATAATATTTTCATCAAACTTCATATGCTAATACATACTGATGTAACCTTTTCAACTGCATCAACATTTTTTGACCTTGACCTTTCCTTTGACCTTGACCTCACTTTTCTTAAATTAGTGTCAAACTTCATATGCTGATACATACTGATGAGAGCTATTCAACTGCATCAATATTTTTTGACCTTGACCTTTCCTTTGACCTTGACCTCACTTTTCTTAAATTAGTGTTTAGCTCAGTTTTAAAGAAACCATTCATAATATTTTCATCAAACTTCATATGCTAATACATACTGATGTAACCTTTTCAACTACATCAACATTTTTTGATCTTGACCTTTCCGTTGATCTTGACCTCACTTTTCTTAAATTAGTTTCTGAATCAAAGCTATTCAACTGCAGCAATATTTTTTGACCTTGACCTTTCCTTTGACCTTGACCTCACTTTTCTCAATTTGTGTTAAAATGTTGCATTACTAATATACCCTTGGCGGGGCATTCATGTCCTATGGACATATTTCTAGTTTGGAAAGAGTCATGGTGCCAGAAATTATTGGTGTTTGTGCCCCAGGGCCAGAGTGGGCATAAAGGGGGTGGGGGAGGGTCTTACACAGAGGAATAGTTAGGGAGGAATTCTTATCATTCAGTGTGCAAGTGTTTTGTTTCAACTGTAGGTTCACATTAAAGTCATGGCACTGGGGCTAGATTTTTTATCAAAATATTACCTAGTACTGTTTAGATTTAAAAAAAAAAATCTTTTTTTTTTTAGAATAAGGTTACAATTCATCAAATTAATAAGCATAAATTTGTGTACTCTGTGGTATAAATTCAAATGGGTGACAAACAAGGGTCACGTTGAACTTCCTAAGTTTGATTGCTTTCTCGTCAGACTTGTCAAGCACATGAATTAAGGTCTTGAAAGGAGAAATTTGGAGAAATATTTCCATTTGCTTTCATTGAATGTCAAAGGATAGTGCTTGTAATATACATGTGTATAATCTGTTACATATTTAGGTTGTTTTTTTTCATGATCACTGTATTGTTATGATTTCATATACTGTATTTGCCATATTATATGAAATGTGCTTTCATATTATGTTTATTGTTTTATTGTCTCACTTCAGAAAATATATTACCTGTTACTGTATCTTGATATGTTTTATTAAAAAATAATTACATTTTAGTGGGAAAGCAGTGTTGAGAATTATTAAAAATTTTATGGCATCAACTTAATGTGAAGCCTGGGCATGCAATTTGTTGAGAATTATTCCACCTTAATTGTCTCAAGTTCAAAAACTTCTAGCTTTTTTAGTGGGTAACCTAAGATTTTCAAGGATAACCTGAAATTTTAATCAATTTGGGTAACTAGAAATTTTAATTAAGTGCAATTTCACCTTTTGAACTTTTGTTTCATCCCTCATTTAGAACCATATGTTAATTATCACATCCATGTATATGTGTGCAATATTAGAATTTATTGACCATTTGTAGAATACATTTTAACAATTTTAGGAGAGATTCTGCCTTCTAGCTTGTATTTCTAATGAAAACTGTCAATATTAATGGTATCATTTTGCAATGTCTTGAATGGGAAAATTTGACATTTTTTACCAGTGTAAAAGGACAATAGTTAGACTAAGTATTGCAGTTATAATATAAAATGAGTTTAAAGTAGATTTCATGAACGACCCTTTTGATCTCGACATAAAGAAAAGAAAATTTGAAGTTTTTCTGACCATGGGAAATTTTTATTTAACATATCAATTAAAAAACATAACTTGTTATTTTTTTGTTCCTGAGAAATATTTTTGCCTATAAAATTAGAGCTATGGAGAACATGTTTGTATGAAATGTACAATTCTACATTTGTTTAAATATTTTTCCTACTTTTATTTCAGAAAAGTAACAAAAAGAAATTAGTTGTGGAACTGGAACCACAAACATAAAAAATTCAAAAAGTAAAGCACAATTTATATAGATAATAAATAAATACGTGTACTTTTAACATACATGTAGCTTTGAACATTTTGACTCTGTAAAGCCTGGTTATTTCTGAATAATGTGTGGTTGTGTATATTTAATCAGATCCTACTGTATATAATGGAGAAAAGTTGGCACCCCCTCCACCCCTGTCTAGTGCTGTCTGTATTTCAGATGAATTTTGATATATATGTGCAAATGTTGCTCTTTTGTAACTTACTAATGCTCAATTTGTTGACATTTCTTTCTTCAGACTTGTTTATAATAGGCAAAACCTTGTGAAAGAAAATACAGAGGTAGATTTTTTTTATGGATAAATAGGCATTGTTTTATTGTTTTTAATTCAAATGTTTGTAATGTTCTTGAGATATCTGTGTGCATTGTGTACTGTAGTAAAAATGTTTTTATAAAAAAAAAAATAATGTGAAAAATTTTCGTTCAGACCATGTTCTTATTCCTCTGAAAGAGGATAGGGGCATGGAGAGAGGGAGCAATTTTGTATCTAAGTTCATTTTAAACAATCATATTCAGGAATTTTAAATACACAAATTAAAAAATCTATGTCCTCAACCTGTAAATTCTATTTTTATGACAAGGCTGGCTGATATTAATTCTATGTTTAACGTCACCTATACACTTCAAAACCCACAAGGAAGGGAGAAAAAAAATTACAAAAACAAAAATTTCAAACAAAAGAGTATTAACTCACCAACATGAATCAAGTTACTGTCATTATTTGTACATCATGTAGGCTTATTGTTTAATGATCATTTTCAGTAAATCTTTTAATTTAAATGATAGCTCAAATATACAACATAGAGGGTCCAAATATTGTTTATCTCTATGGAATGCAGTTTTTAGGTGCTAAAAGTACGAGCAAAATGGAATAGAACTTTCAAAATGGGTATTTGTTTGTTTTAGGTGCCAATTTCTACAAAACCTACTCGCATGGGTGAAGTTAAACATAGAATTAACTTTGAACAGCCTAAGCAGTAATAAACACCCATCTGATAGCGTTCCATTTTATTGTAGACATTTTTTTTTTTTAAATTTTACCTGTTTGCCATGGCATTTTCTATCTGTAAATTTTTGTATGTGATTTTATATGTGAGGATTTGTATAAAGTTTATCTGCTTTCTTCATGCATTCTTTCACCATCATGTGACACCTGGCAACTACATGTAATCTAGGGCTTCTGTAACAATTTTAATATCTCAGTATTGTTTTCTTTTCCCATGTCATATTTTTAAAGGAGTGCCCGTGTGGGAAAAATACATCATGTTAATAATTAAAACAAATTATATATATATTATATATATTAGTTACCTATGAAATGTATTGAATACATTTTGAAAAAAAAAAGAGAAAGTATTTTTATTATTTTTTAACATCCTTGGGATTAGAATTACTCTGTGTTTCTAATGTTAAAAAAAGACTCAATTAATTGTTGTACAAAAGATTTCCACATTAAACTTACAAAGCTGATAATTTAACAAAGTTATTCTTAGTCACTAGAAATTCAAAGAAAATATGCAGGAAGCATGTTCCCAATTAGGCAGTTTCAATCAGTTGAAGAATATCTAGGTAAAAAATAAGATAAAATAATCTGGTATCGCTACTTATGTATAATATCACAAATATATGTATATTGCTGAAATGCAGATTTACATTTCTGGGGGCAGCACAAACTACTGTAGAAGTACTTTTTAGCTCACCTCAACGAAATTGGGGGAGCTTATGTAATACCGTCAGTGTCAGCGTCCCAGGTTAAAGTTTTTGGAGCAGATTTCTTTTCAAGTACTTCTGTGCCCTGTATCAATCAGAGGTGCATGGAGGATGCTTCTAGTGTGTTTTATTGTACCAGTCAAGGTTTCAGATGCTGCAATTTTAAGCTAAAGAATGACCAGGTTAATGTTTTTGGAGCAGGTTAAAATTTTTGGAGCATGTCAAGGTTTTTGGAGCAGATCTTGTTTCCAAGTAACTATAAGTCCTATTTTGACCAAACTTGCAGGGATGATACATCTAAGGATGCACACTCTGGACTTGCTTCGGATGCTGGATCTGACCTACATTTTCTGGATGAGTGACAAGGTTATCGTTGTGAAAACAGTTCCCATTTCCAAGTAACCGTAATTCCTATTTTGACCAAACCTGCATGGATGATACACCTAAGGATGCACACTACCAGGCTTGCTTCAGATGCTGGATCTGCCCTACATTCTCCGGATGAGTGACCAGATTAAAGTTTTTGGAGCAGATCTCATTTCCAAGTAACTAGAAGTCCTATGTTGACCAAACTTGCAGGGATGATACATTTAAGGATGCACACTACTGGACTTGCTTCAGACACTGGATCTGACCTACATTTTCTGGATGAGTGACCAGGTTTAAGTTTTGGATAAGTCCATTCCCAAGTAACTGCAAGCCCTATCAGACCAAAATTGCATAAATGTTGCATCTAGGGATGAACACTGGATTATTAGTTCAGTGTGGGACTTTGCCTTATTTAAAGACACCATTTGTTGAGGTGAGCTCTGTAATCTCTTATTACCTATGTTTTCGGTGTGGTATTAATTTATGCTATGTGTGTGGTCACAAGTTTTCAAGAATTTCTGTGAAAATTTATTCCAGTGTGCCTTAAGTACATTCAAAAGCAAATATTGACAATCTAAGATACCCGTGTAAATTTCTACCCACAGATTAAAAAGAAATTGTCATGCCACCGAATTATGACGAAAAAAGGATGTTTTCAGTAGTTTAAAAATGAGTATGAAATCATTATTAATATTGACAAGTGATATCAGTGAACTTTTTTGTATAACAGTCAAAAGATTGCAGTGTACTGTTTAGCTACCTCAAGGTCAACAGATTCGGAACTAGACGGCAATTAACAGTACTAGTAATTGCAAGAAAAAGAGAAATTTGAATTGTTGACTTTTACTTACAAATAATATCACTACGTTGTGGGTTTTTCAACTGATTCAGGTCTATCATTGCAGCGAGGACCTCTGATAATCATTGCACTAAGGACCTCTGATTAATGATAGTATTTTGTCAACATTACTAGTACATGTACTGTGATTATTTGTACTTAACGAGACTGTTGTCTGAAATTATAACATAGAGAATATATCAGAATAATTGACTCACATCTAGTACAAGTGCATTGTAATCCATAGATACAAAGTTTAAGTAATAACTTATTTTTTTGATAATTTGATATTGTCATGATAAATGTAATATATAGTCATTCATCATTAAACCAGTTCTTCATCTCTAGGAGTGCTTCATCCAGCCAATCAACTAAGTTCTCGTTTTTGCTTTCCTGTTAATTATAAGCAGTACTTTAATTATTCATAGTATGTGTTCAGCAGGGTGACTCACTGAATAATTTGACAACATATAAGGAGGAAAATTATAAAAAAAAAATGCTTAATGCAATTATCCCAAGACCTTGAGAAGTTTGTTACACTTGTGTCCTCTTGGCCTGTTAGGTAAGTTAACATTCCGGTATGTATGTATTTATTCATGTATTACAATGTCGAAATATTCTACAGTGTTATTATGCAAAGAAAAGAAATACCTGAGACTAAGTTTGTCCTTATAGAACTATCAAATCACAGCAAAAGATGAGTAATTTCAGTTACCTTTTCTAAAATTTCTGAGATTCCACTGGTTTCTGTAGGTGTATGCTGCTGTTGCTGTAGGCTGTTCACTATTCTAAAATCTGAACCCAATGGTATGTTACTCAGAGTCTGTTCTTCAACATAAGCACACATCCTCAATTCATCATCCACCCCAGCAATATTCCACTCTTCCTCCGCCTCCATTACTGTGTGGAAATGATCTTCCATATTCATATTTTCAGGTTGACTGTACAAGTATTTGTCACTTTGACTAGGTGATTCTTCATTTTGAATAGGTGATTCTTCATTTTGAATAGGTGATAGATAAGCATACATGGACGAAATAGAATTCTCATCTTGAAGAATGGATTGATTCTCTTTTGAGCACTGCACACTGCAGAAATTAACTTTTTTAACAAGGTCCTGTTTAGGATATTTTACATCCTCTTCAAATGCACCATTATTATTGGTTTCATTGTTGTCTTTAACATCAACCTGAGGCTTCCTACCAGCTCTGCTGGCTTCTTGATCCCTCAGAATCTTATTCATGGATTTGGACATTTGTGCTCCCTCAAAAGAATCTGCTGTTGTGGAGACCAGAATATCTGTGGTAGTCGCAGTAGCCTCCCTTAGTTCTGGAAACCAGTTTAATCTCTCTAAGTCATCCTCATGAACTTGTATAAAGTCATTGTCTCCTGAAGGATCAGTTTCAGAGTTTCTAAATTCTGATTTGCTTGCAGGATCTAACACAGTTCTTTGAGGACCACAACTCTATATTGAAAATGAGGAATACAGTTAATTGTGTCATATTGCAAAAACCGAAATAAAGTTATCATCTGGATGGTAGCTCGGGTTCTGTTTGAGCTTTTTCAATGAAACATAAAGGAATGACTCTCTCAAACACAAGAAAGACCCTTATTGATTTTGAGGCCAAAAGATGAAAGTTCAAGGTCACACATTTATATATGTGGATCGATGAAATGATACACTTAAGTTTTTTGGATGATAAATGGATAGACCCAAATTAATACTGTAAAATTTCTTATTTTTGAGGGGTCAAATTTTCATGGCTTAATAAGGATGAATTACTGCTTCAAGGGGATTTGAATTGGTGGTAAAATGAGAACCACAGTACTGTAGTACACAATTATAACATTTTGTGGGGGATATAATTTAGTGGGTGTCTTCATTCCATGAAAAACAACGAAAATTAAACCCCCATGAAAATTGGTGATTTCACAGTATCCCCTGCTTTTAACAAAGTGGGGGAGAACAGAAAATACTAATTGCCTCAGATTCCATTGTCTCTATTGGTTGAAAAATTCCAAATGACTCAGAGATGTTCCAAAGCTTTTTACTCAGGGACACTTGTACAGACCCATCTTCTTCAACCTAGAGAAGAGAAAAAGTTCAGAAGTGTGCATTGTTTACGGATGACAATATCAAACATGAAAACAACTGCATCAGGAAGGGATGGAATGCAACAGAGGAGACCTGCAGGATTATTGAACACAGGATCCTGGAACTCTAATAAGATAATCTAATAAACTGAGTTATTTTTTCTAGCAGAAAATACTGATCTACCCAACCTAACTTCTGACCTCTCTATTAAAGTCTTTCCATTCAAAAACACCATCTTTCCTGGCAGGCTCCATATCTGTCACTTCCAAACATGGTTGCGGCACATATAATGTCATCCTCGCAAGCCAGAGGTCCTGAGTCAACATGTTGCCGTTGGACCCCTGGCATATTTCATTCAATATTTGTGGGCTGACTGTAGCGACGTTTTTCGGAAAAATTAGAAATCTTGATTGTTTTTCTTATCTCTCAACCAATCACATTAAGCCATTCTATGATAAACAACTTGTAACACGTGCATTTGAGGTGTCAACTGAATCCTTATCTAACTATTTATGAAAGCTTTAATTTGATTGGTGCTTCTCAATGAGAGAAGCAAGCCCACGAATATTGAATGAAATATGCCAGGGGTTCAACGGCAACGTGTTGACTCAGGACCTCTGGCTTGCGAGGATGATATAATGTTGACGGAAGAGGAAAAAAATGTGACGGAACAGAATAGAATACAAACCCAGGATTGTCCCTATGAATTGAAATAGTAGGGGACATTAAAAAAGTAGAAGGGGTTCTGGGGTTCGATCCTCCTCTAACAGGGGATTGAGGGGGAATATCAGAGTAACCAAGGGATTATACGTTATTATTGGTGGGGAAATTCCCTGGCCCCCGGGTCTTAGGGACAACCCTGCAAACTTACTTATTAAGCTTCCTGTCCATCAGCCAATAAAGGATTTACTACAGGAAGATTGAATAAGTTACCTCTAGCAGTTGATAGCACTTTCTGCGGAACTGTTCACAAGATGATCTCAGCACAACATTAGATATGGACTTTGAGATGTTTGAAATGGCTTGGCTGTACAGCAAGGTTGTCTGAAATGGAGTTCATTGAAAGTCATTGCTAGAATACACTTCATTATAGAAGGAAATCATCATTAAACACCATTTTAAAATAATTATCGATAACTTTGTCTTTTGAATATTTTAAATCTCAGATATGAAAAAAAAATTATTTTTATCTCCAGTCAAACTTATGCATTGGTAACTTATGCATTGGTAATGTGCATGTTTAATCTATCCCTCTCACGGTCTATCATTCAACAGTTTGCTACCCTTGCTACAGTCTTTCTGATTTACATAAATCTTGGTATGAGATAAGACTATTAAAATAAGATACACATAGTATGACTCATTTACTGGTGAGCTTTATGGACTATGGTGCACTTTACAAAAACTAGAAAGAGGAACATTTTGGAAACATATAACAGTTTATTTTACTTCAGTCGCTATATGTTTATTGAAAGCAAAACAAAAACAAAACTCAATATACAGATTAGGTAACTAATTGATATAGTCTATCTGGGTGATTTATTGAAGCAGATCAAAAATGTATTAAAGAAGTAGCATTTTTAACATATTATTTTACTTTAAAACCTTGGGAACATCCTTTAAAGTAATAATTTAAAAAAAAGTACAAAAAATATATGTACCCTTATTTAAATGAAGTGACCTTGTTTATCAGGTTTTGTTGAAATCAGACTAAAACTGCATGTACAAGGAATAGAAGTTTAAAAAGTATTCACAGACAGATGATTGAAGGACAGAAACACAGTGTCAATTTAATGCATAATAGGTCTAACCAGTAGAGCTAAGAATAGTAGAAGAGTACAGTATACAAGATTTTCTTTCCTAAGCTTTTGAAATCAGGTTTTGAAATGTATACTGTTTTGAAAATCTTATGGGATTAGTCAAAAGAGCTCTAAGTTAGATCAATTTGGTCACATTACAACTGAACTAGGGTGCATTTGTACTTACAAGCCCTTTTTGTTCTAAACACACCTTTTCGTCATCTGCAGATCTGACAGGGGTAACAATTTTATCAATTACAAATTCCAAGGAGGCTTTTATCTTTTCTTCATAGATTTTCATCCACTTCACACTATTCTTTCTCAACCAAAAAACAGCATCTTTTGGAAAAGTAGAGCCAATATAAATTTTAAAATAATAATAAAAAAATAATCAATTTAAAAAAAAAAAAACTGAACTTAACTATATCTTGCTTGATAAATATAGCATGCCTCATACCCATTTTCCTTTCAGAACTGCAGAGGTTTTTAACATCCATAAAACCATAAAGTGACAAAACAAAACAGGATTGTTCCCTTATGGCTCTCACAGGTAAAAATTCATGGCACTGAAGGTGAGCTGTAATACAGACAATTGTATTGAAAATAATTGTGAGACAGGGCTCACTCATTCACATATTATTTGCATAGGTAGAATAAAATTCTGTCTTTGACTGAGAGGATCCTGGTCTTGGCACCAATTTTATTAATAATGTAGAACAGATGATTATCAATTATCAGACCAGAGCTGAAATTCATGACCACATTGATTTCATCAGTATATAAAAACATTTTTTAATATAAAGAGAAAACATAAGATGCAAAGTATTTACTTTTAGACTGTATTGAGTTTTCCGCTACTGGATGTATTCCATACTTTGTCCACTTTACAAGGCTCAAAACTTTCATCGGATTAATTGCATCCCCAGTGTCGTACAGTGGTATATTTCCAGGACCATACCAAGAAAGCTTTGATGTCAGATATCAACAAACAATTGAAAAGGGATTTGTCAATAATTATAATCTAGTGCACTTACATCCATTGGATCTGTAGGCAGACTATACCTCTTAATTTGGTTAAAAAGAATTAAAGACAAACAGGATTATTTTAAATTTTGATTTTCAAAAAATAGAAATACCATCACTAGAGAGGGTGTGTTTGTTTCACTGTAACACACTGTCTTAAATCCAGATATGTAAAGTTGGAAAGTCATATCTGGCTCATCAAGAAGGTTAGGAAGATCCTCCATGTTACCACTTACAATACTGGGAGACAAAGATGATGGGACATATTGTGTATCTCTGAAAAAATATTAGTAAGTCAAAATGAAGAACAAAACAAATGTCAAGAACAAACAAACAAACAAACAATCTTTTGCTGCAAAAGATTGAATTAAGTCTGTCTTAATCTTGTGGATATCTTAAATCTTAAGGTGTTAATATTTTTTTTGTTTTGTCTTTATTTATCTGTAAACTAAAATTTGAAATAAAATAAAGATGAGATCTGAGCTAAATAACCTTTCATTTTTTTCTGGCTAAAAAAGTGCATTTAAAGCTCACTTTAGTATATAAACTGTGTCTTTTGATAAAGAATATCCCTTCTCTGGAAGATCTTCAATCATATTCTGCCTAAGCAACCACAATAAAAAATATATCTATATTAAGAGATAAATTCAGCTGTAGAAATACTTGGATGTTTCCCCCTTTTTCTATACATTAAATTTTAACTACTGGGAACTAAAAGAATCCTGATTTATTCACTTATGCCAGAAAAATATCTTAGTTATGGTTCTACTAAGTATTTCAATGAAATATCAAGGTTTTGTTCTCATAGAGATAAGAATTTGTATTTTTAGAAATAATTTAAACTAACATGCTATAACATATTTTATTTTCTGCTGCCTCCTGTTATAGTACATGTATTTACATAAAAGCAGGTACATGTATAAACCTTATGTCAAAGATGCAGTCATTTTCGTGAACTGTGAGAGATAATCCAAAGGATGCCTGTTAAAAAATCAAAATAAATGTGACTTAGAAAGACACTCATTTTTTTGTCGTTCTCCATCCTTCAACTAGAATTCGACGAATTTAACAATAAATTGAATGTTTATATAATTCATAAACTTTAATTTTTACAAGGTATTTGAAAAGGGTAAATCATAAATTCATATAAGGAATTATTTTCACCTTAGAACATAGACTTATTTGTTTCATGTAATGGTAAAGTTTTTTTGCTTGCAACATCATGGCACCCTTACTTTGAAATACCTTAAAAAAAAATAAAAGATGGGCATAAATTAATGTTTATTTTACAAACTCATACTATCAATCCTAGTGCAATAAATCAATATTGCAATTATGTTTTTCGTGCAAAATTTGTCGAACTTTCAAATTGCGTTGAATTATCTTGATCATATATGATAATATTCCCTTCCCTTGAATATAGCAGAAACCTAATTGAAGTCATCTGGACGTGTTTATACCCTGATGTGTAGTACTGTGCCAGATGTTCTTTTCATATTTGGTTTTGTCTTGCTCTTAGTACATTTCAATCCATAACCATCATTTTCAGACATCAAGAAATAACTTCTCCTTGTCAGGGTGCCATCTTCACTGTAACTTAAACTTAAATGGCTCTCATTCTCTAGGGATTGCATTTCGACGACAAGGCTTGCAAAAGTCTGAAGATAATTTCCTTAAACGATAGACAATACAAAGAAAATGATAAAATTTAAGATTTTTTTTTTAAATTAATAATTAATTAATATAATGAAACCTTTGACCCCCCCCCCCCCCCAATGGATTACATAAAATATAGGTTTATGTTTTGATTCAATGCATATTTATACTTGTAAAAGTGTGTACAAAAATTACTGAACCACTCACCATAACTTGAAAAGAGGGTTTCAATGCAGAAATGTCTACTGCAGATGACTATTAAAAAGAGGTAGAATTTTTAAGCATTTCATCAGCTTTTTAAAAAAAAAAAATGGAGAAATATTTAAATTCAAGATTTTAATACAACACCTATATACTGATTCAACATTAGAAAATGATTAAAAACCAGAAAAGAAAAGAGAAGGATTACGTTTGATGAGGAAAATCAGATTGTCAAAATGATGTTCAGTTGATGACTTAATCTGAACGTTAATGGACAGGTCTGGTGTTTCTTGATGTAGGACAAGCAGCAACTCTGTGATCTGGAAAAAAGATCTTTTTAACCCACCAAAGCTGAGAGGGAATCTACAAATATACTTCAATTGATGATATTTTTTAAAATTTAAAAAGGAGGTATAATCAAAAGAACTTCATATCACAAAATTAAAATGATCAGAAAAGAAAAAAATGGTTTTAAAAAACTTTAACTTTTTACATGAATGTTATGCTTTAAAAAACTTGACAAACTTGACTTGGTAAAATACTTGAAAGGGGGGGGGGGGGAGTATGGGAGGGGTGAGAAACCAATGGCACAAAATGATGGGAGGGGTATAAAAAAATAAGCCCCCATGCCACGGCTGCTCCTCTCAGAATCCATATTAAGGCCATCTAGTTGTCTACAGTGTTACACTTTTTCTACTTTAACCCAAGTCGTAAGTTTTGCATCTATTTTCATATGCTTTACTGCTTAAGTAGTCCGAAATATCTGACGTTTACCAGGCTTTTTTTTATGATTTTGATATTTTATGTGCCAGGAAAACTTTCCTGGCACGTAAAATATCAAAATCGTGAAAAAGCCTGGAAAACGTCAGGTATTTCGGACTACTGCTTAAGTAGAAAGATAAAGTGCTTCTTTTATGATAGATATTACAAACATCAGTATGTACATGCAAGACTTAATAGCGATTCTCTGTAACCACTTAAACTTCTTTGCCACGCATGGTCACCGATTTTGATGAAACTTTGCCCATTATTACAACTTGACACAAGAAACATATATCAAATAAAATTTCGTTGCTATGTGTCTTGGTTGCCATGATAACAGCCAGAAAAGTTGGAAAAATTGAGATTTTCAGCTACTTTGAATATTTATTAAGCCTTAATAAAGAATAAGAATAATAAACAAACCATTCTCCCCAAAACCTGACACCTTGTTGCCACTTATGCTATAAAGAAACTATTTAGAATTTATCTCTAAGTAAGTGGTAACCATGGGTACATTTGGAATACATTCTAGATGCTGAAAAATGCAGAAAAACGCTCAATATTCACTAATGATAGGTGTTAAATGATCAAACTCAATCAACAACCTAATAAAAAACAATAAAAATATTTGACCTTAAGTAATTAGGTATTGGCAATATTATTCTAAAAATAACTTTTATGGTTGCCATGGTAACACAGTGTTACTATCCAAAATGTGTTGCTAAGATTGGGTTAATGCTACTATCTTCAGGAAAAATCATAAATTTCATGACTGGCACATATACATCCTTAGGACCTTGCAACACCGACAACATAAGAAAAATTGGGATTAATTGTTACTTTGCAGTGTAACCATGGAAACAATGTACCAGTAGTTTAAAGTGATATTTTTTTGCTGCCTTAGGAATTTACTTACCTTTTATTCAAGAAACATATTATTTGACTCACCTTGAATAGTACTTATCTGGTAAAACTAAAGTTGAATATCATATATTGATAACGTTTGTTGAAAAATACAACACTGTTGCTATGGTAACCAAGAAGGGAAAATGTCCAATTTTGTTAATTTTATATCAATATTAAACCCTATGTGCCAGCTTTTTGCATCCAGTTAGAGATTGGGTGGCAGTCAAAATTGAAAGTCAGGTTAGTTGTTCATATTTACCAATCATAAAAGATTTGGGAATCTACATACAAGGGTACGTATCCAAGGAAACAGAATATTTTTCAGATTTTTATGCATATTTTTTCGGCTTATTTCCATAGCAACGCTCTATTTAAAGAATTGAATTTGAATTTTTTGAAATGTGAGAATTAGGGTCACATGAACATCTTTAAAAATTGATCATTTGTTATATAGAAATATGCTTTTTAAAAAGATAGGATTAAATTTAATCACTAAGAGAGTAAATTTAAAATCCTTTCTTGGTATTAAAACCATGGCAACCATTGCCAACCTATAAGAAATATCATATTTGTCCTTGGTATATGTTACAAGGATATTTTGTCTATTATTTGCTTGCATTTCAACCTATATTTTTTTTTATTCTTAAGTGTATGACTTTATAAAATTAAATGAGCAAAATCATTACTTTTGAATACCTTGTTTCCATAGTAACGTATGGAGTAGTTGATTTACCAAACATGTTTATCATGCATTTAAGACATCAGGCCTTCAACTTTCAGAAACAATCATTGCCACTTGTTTGCTTTGCTGCAAACGTTAACTGTGGGACTCTGAACATGTTGAAAAATGCCATTTTTCAAACTTTAGGACATGTTGCCATGGTAACCATGACACGTAGCAACCAATTTCTGCCTGATTTGAGTTTACGGTATCAAAGACTTTTATCATAGAGAGTTTGGAGAAATTCTGAGACTATGCGTGCCACAGCTTCTATATAAAAGTTCAAGTCGTTACAGAGAATGGCTCTTAATTCCCATCTCCATATCAAATTTTATTTCTTGTACTGTGTCAGTGTTTTTCACCTATGTTTCAAAAGCAGCTTTTCCCTCCATTTTGGGAATAATTTTACATTGAAATATGTTAAAACTAATTGGAAAAATATCGTGAATTTTTTGTGGAAATGACCACATTTCCTAATGGAAGTTGTTACTGTATTCAGTGACATCACAGGGGCTTGCTACCGGCGTGTAATAATTATTTATTTTAAAAAATCATATACGGTAATACTAAAACATTAGTTTTAGTATTATCGTATATGATTTTCATAATAAATAATTATTACACGCTGGGAGCAAGTCCCTGTGGTGACATGGAAAAACACAAACATATAGATATGCAATTAAAGTAATACCTCAGCCAGCCCATGCACACATTTCAAATTGTGTGCAGCATTCATGATTCGTGTAAAAGTCTAATCAATAACTGAGTGATGTATTTCCTTCCATATTTTAGAATTCACGGAACAGGCGATTTGTTGACATTCGTATTTTCCCGCAGGATCAACATTTTCGTAATTCCGATCCCGATGCAAAAGCACGGGCACTTGTTTCGGTAATAAATTTTTTAACCCATAGTATATAATTACGAAAATGTTGATCCTGCGGGAAAATACGAATGTCAACAAATCGCCTGTTCCGTGAATACTAAAATATCATTATTCCCCCCAAATACATGACTAAATCTAGCAAAATTACTTTAGAGATCCTCTAGCGTTATACGCTAAAACTAAAGAGTTCTACATCTTATGTGTGGACCTTTAATGCAGTTTTACTCTAATAGAGGATCTGAGCTCTAAAAATATACAGGATACTACTCGATTTGTAATCAATTCATTATCATTTTATTGGACCAAAATAAATGAACCGAGAACTTAATTTTGATGCATTTTAAGTAAGCAACCTTGATCAATGAAAACTTTGTTAACTTTGAAATTTTTCGCGGGGGGGGGGGGGGGGGAGGGGGGATAATGGGTAGAACTCTGTGATGAAAATGAAGATAAACTCAATAACAAATATCATTAGTGTAAAGAGGATCATCAAACAGATGTTTAAAGAATCTCTGTTTCAAAAAGTGATATTTTATAGGGGTTTTGTTTGTTTAATATATTAATTTTGTGTGTGTGTGTTGTTGTTTTTTTTTTTTCATTTAATGTTTTTTCCCCCTTTTGTTTGTTTGTTTATTATTTGTTTTTGAAAGGTAATGCGATTTCACCCAACACATCCATCCTTTCCGATTGTCTTAAAAGAGATGGGCAATTCAGGACAAAGAAAACCTGGCATCCTTCAAACTGTAATCTGTTATTTCCTTTTGCCAATACTTCCCTCAGCGGAAGTTTATTCTGTTGGAAATGGGAGGGGGTAAAGAAAAATATGTCATGTTTATAATACCCAGTACTGACGTATATTTTCTTTTTGAGAATTACAAATGCACTGCTTTTATTTATTTATTTATTTATTTATTTATTTATTTATTTATTTATTTATTTGAAGGGACCGACCATTTGATTTTGAAAGGGGGTAATGGTGGCAGAATTTGGGGGAAAAAATAGTATATCCTTGAAAAATGTAGAAAATGAATAATCTGTCCTTTACTGGGAAGAAAATAAATAATCTGACCTTGACAGGCGGTACATTTACCCCTTCTCCCCTACCCCTTCTCACAAAATAGTTTTCGACTTTGGGTAGACCCCCTACTTTTTTGGCTTGTCAACTTTTCTTCTTGTTGAAAATGGAAATAAATATTCTGTCTTGCGAGGACCTGAAAATCTGATTCGATAATACCCCCCCCCCCCTTTCAGAGTCAAATGATCGTCCCCTTATTAAGGTGGTAGCACGCTTATTTCTTAAATGGAACACATTATATAACCCACCGTGGCATCGTTCTCATCTTGATAACTATTTATATACACTTTCTTTCCTGTAAATAGTCATAACCAGCCAAGGAAACTCTATACTGTCGATTTGAAGACCGAGTCAGAAAGGGAAAGGGGGGGGGGGGGGCGAAAAGCATATTATTTTATTGTGACATCTCTCCCTTCATTTTTTGGGAAATTCGAGCCTCATAAGCAATACTTTCCCCTTTAAACTGGCTGTATTTAAAAAATATTCCTTCATTGTTTTTAATATGGGAACATTCGAACATGGTTATATACACATTTAGCATCCAGTTTAAATTGTGTCAATTTTTTGTGTAAGTGTCTGGAACACACACACACCCTCTCCTTTCAAAAAAAAAACAAACCAAAAAAACAAAAAACAAAACAAAAACTGAATATAGTTTTTAACTTTATTTTTGTAGAGAGGATGATACTCATTTGCAATTTATGTTATTGTTCAAATCACTTTTCCTATTTGTGAAACCTTAGTTCATCCAGTTTTATATCTATGCATACATGTATATCCCAACTCAAGCACAAAAACATACCAAAAAAAAAAAAAAAAAAAAATTGGTGAAAAAAATCAAATACATAGACATGTACATTTTTTCCCCCTGAAAAATCATGTTGATGAAAAACTCATTCAAATTTAAAATAATTTATTTCCTGAAATTTATGTCAAGAACATGAAGTAACATATTACATAACAAGCCCATTTTAAATTTTCAATGCAGAATTTTTCAACACATATTGAAATAAATAATAAATTTACACATTGGCACTTTATTTTATAGATCTCTACTTTGTTAAAGCCTTTCCTTAATTTGCATGTCACTGAGTTGTAAGGAATCAGAAAACAGCACAATAATAATTAAAAAGTTTATATATTTTTTTCACTTTATCAAGTCAATTTAGTCTATAGCACAGTAGACGTCAAATTTGAGCTGGAATGTTTTTATGAGTACGCAAGTGAAATTCAGTTTCTCATGAATCTCCTTCATCGTCGGCTTCTTCACGAATAACAGGTATACCTAAAAATAAAAATGTCAAGTTAAATTATATCACTTTCAAGTTGTATTGATATGAATGCTTAAAAACAAATACAATTTTTTTTTTGGGGGGGGGGGGGGGAATTTCAATGGTACTTTTGGGTCATTTCAATGATACAAAAATTGTGTGAATAAAATATGTAAAATTATAAGAAAAAAAATTGATTAGAATCTTTTGGACTTAATATTTCTCAAAGTGATTTGAGAGCATATAAATTTGGTGTTAAGTTGATTTGTTTTATTTCAACCCCCCCCCCCCCCAAAAAAAATTGTGGACATTCTATAGCAATACGAGTGTACATTAAAATTCTTCAGATGGAGCAAGCTATTAAATAAGGGTGAAAATATTTCAAATCAGTCACATAAAATATAAATGAAAAACATAGTTAGCAGCATCTCTCAACACCACATTGAAATATATAAACTTTTTGTAAAATAGGGGAAAAAATTGAATTCTAAAATCTCGACAATGCTCAGTTTAAATAGCCAACAATTTAAATACATCTGCCATTCTAACATTGTAACAGACTTCTTCTAGATATATATGTCACATTATATTGATGTTTATCCTTTTCAATAATGTTGCATAATCCATGACATAATACAAACCATCGAGTTTTTTCAATTTGGGGAGTTTCTTGGCAACGTTGTCTCTGTAAGTTCCCTCCCCAGACTCTTTTTCCTCTAGGGGATTCCCAACAAACACTAACTCTTCTAACACAGGTAAATCTGCCTATTTGTTAAAATAAATCATATTGTGTATATACATTTGGATACAGTACCAGAGAAAGAAGGCAAAAAAAATAGAGAGATTTTAATTAAGAGTAGCTCAATGGCCTAAAAAAAAAAATTCACAATTGTTTAAAAATTTAGTACTGTAGATTCCTAAATATACACAAGGAATTAATTATCGCGTAATTACGCGAGAAGCACCACTCAAAAATAAAATTACTCGCTTTTATTTTTGTGGTGCTGAAATCAATGTAAAGTCCCTTGATCAACCGTCCTCTCGCGAATTATTGTTCTCGCAATTTGACGTTGAAGAGCCATTTCGCGATAATAAGTACTCGCGAAATATAAGGAATCTACAGTATTTCATCCTATGAGGGAGGAAGTGGGGGTTACATCTACTCACCAATTTGCCAAACTCATTGCTGTCTTTGACTTGGTTATTTGACATATATAGGACCTGAAAAATTTAAACACATGTTCATCTCTATTTCCTGTATCTGTTTGTTGAACTTATTTATTAGTTTAACTAAATATGAACTCGTATGTTTTATTTAAAACAAAAGCATAATATTTAGTTGAAATCTGACCTTTAATCTTTTAAGGACGTTGATGCCTTTTAACTTTTCAATTAAGTTATATGAAATCCAGAGTTCCTCCAGTGTGTCACCAACAGCTTCCTAAAAGACAGATAAATATAGGTAAACATTAAAACCAAATGTAGGATTGGGTATTTGTGTAAAAAAAAAAAAAATACAGAATGTTGTGTTTTTCTTAGTTAGAAAAGAAGTCAAGGTATTAAAATGTTAAAAAAAAATAGAATGTCTGTATGGACTTCTGATTTTTTAACTTCATGAAGTCCACGGGGCCAGAGGAACTATAAGATAAATTATACCCCAGTATAAATGTAGATGTAAAGGGGTATATTGTGTATACATGTATACTGAAATTGGCTTCTTTCATGAAAAAAGTCCACTTACCAGACCTGTGAGAGATTTGATGTTGTTTCTTCCAAGAGATAAAATTTTAAGATTTTCTGAAAAATAAGATTGACATTTGTTTATTTTGTTCTCCATTTATTTCAGCAGTACTCTTCTTTGTATTTTATTATTTTTATAATTCATTAAAAATTAATTTAACTCTCAATATTCAAGGATTCTTTAAATTCTGAGTCTAAAAAAAATCAAAAAAAAAATTTAACATGGATGTAATTATAAACTATTGAATTGAATTTTCAATAAATATTTAACTTGTACTTACTCAAACCATTTAAGTTTGCAATCTTCTCAATACAGTTTGTAGATAATGACAGTTTCCTGAAAAAGTGATAATGTTCATTTATGTCAGATGCATTATTATCTTTTTTTTAATTTAAACATGATCTATTTGTCCTTCAAGGAAATAATAAAATAGCTAATGTCCTATAAAAATAAAGACACCAAAAAATATACAATATTTTCAAGTGATTTACAGTGTGAAATGTAAACAATTTTTTCAGCTCTATATGAATGTGACATATGAAACTTAGTTGAAGAAAAATCATAGGATAAACACAAATGAAATTTTAGAAATTTAACCTTTCAAAACACAACCCCCATTGTTTTCATTCTCTGTGATTTGGTATAAAATTGTGAATGCATTCAGAAACACCTGTTCTTCCTTATTTTGAGCTTACTAAAATTATAGCTAAAGAAGAGGACTTAATAAATGATTTGAGACATGTACTTACTCGCAACTTGCCAGTGTGGACAGAGAGGCATCCATTTTTTCAATGGGAGGAATCTGACCAAAAATTTTCACTTCTTTGGACTCTGAAGCTTTCTGTCCCATTTTCTCTTCCTGTCAGAATAATGATATTTCTGGTTTGAAAGTTAATATGTTTTAACTTCCTATTTCATTATATATGTATGTAAACAATTACTAAATAAGTTTATAAAATGTGATAAAAATATACAAAGGCATTTAATTAAGTAATAAAGTCTTGTCAGTGATCATAACACGAAATTATGTATGAATATTGCATAACAAGCTGCAAAAATAATTTAAAGGGTACAATTCAATGTAATTTTAATCATGTTTATCTAAAATTAATTTTTTTACATATATTTTGTTATATTTTTCAAAAGATTGTATCAATATATAGAGAAAATAGGGATTTACAGAGCCATATTAGCTACATGCACATGCCTGGGTACTAATGTGATGTCACAAATATACACAGTACAGACAGTTACGAAAATCTAAATGTTGTTAGCATACTTATGACCAGAAATTCAGATTCCATTTATATGAATATAATAAAAAAGCATGTATATTAAATTATGTTATCAAAATGCCAATTATTGATTGAATATCAAGGAATATATGCACACCCTTGTTCTTTGCACATATATGCTGATTTTCGAACAAAGATAGAAGTTTCAAATTAATAAATATTTCAAATTTAATAGTGTGTATTAAGAATTTTTATTCAATAAATTACATATATATTACCCATTTTTGGAGAGCCTCTTTAATCGTTGTTCCTTTCCCTGCCTACAAATGAAATGTGTGAAAATGTATGTAAATTGAAAATGTTTCAAAACAAGTTGAATTGTTGTTTTGAATATTATTCAGATCCTTTTTAATAATAAAAAGAAAGTTAAAGACAATTAAAATAAATCTACAGCAATTTGTTGTTAAAACATTATGCTTAAAAATATTCATAACAATACTTTTTCTTCAATGTAAACAACTTGCTGTACCCACCATTTTGAAGCTCTTTCTGTCGTCAAGGTGACAAGTGCGCGTCTGCTCAAATTTCTTTTTGGTTATTTTTAATCAGTGAAAGACACAACTTAAAAATATTTTATCTTCAAAACAAAAATATACAAATCATTAAAAATTTACATTATTAACTGAAACTATATATGATCTCTAGTCTGCACAGGACCGCATAAATATTGCTGGCATGGCTTCCGGTAGAGCATTTGTAGCTTGCAGAAGAGTTTCATCGTTATTTCGGGTAAACTGGGCATGAATTTGCCTTTATTATCAAATCATTAAAAATATTGAAATCAACCATACTTAAACATATTATGTACATTCAAGATAAAGTGGGTCACATTTCATAAACTGTCAAATTTGCATTTAGTTCGAATTATCTCGAAGGTTGAGGTCGAATTTTCTCTGATCGGTAGTTGTAAGGCTAGTATCTGAAGACATGTGCATGGCACTGCATGCATGTTTTACAGTTGAAAAAAAAATAGGATTGAAATTAGAAGCATCAAGCATCATGAAATGTATACTTTATTTTTGTTGGAACAAAGGAATATATTGTACCCACCTGCATGCTATAGATCAGCATTCATGAAAATGTGTTTTTGTACCCCAAATTCGCTTCATGCTTTTAAGATGGGAAAGATGTTTAGTTGTAAATTTGGTAATATGTGGTAAAAACCTGATCATAAGAATATTTGAATCACGGGCCTTTGGATTTCTTTAATTCGACTGACAAAAATGGGGCAATACAAAAAAAAAAAAAAAAAAAATCCATGTAATTCCTGAGATATGCTGAAATCAATTCCAAATTTGCTCTATTTTTCTTTACTAGAAATAAACTTGTGCCCTGGTCATTTACATGTTCACAGACAGTGTTTGAACTGCAGCCAACAGTTGCATAGTATTTGCATGATCTTCAACATTTCTTGTTGATCATAAATTTAGTCTCTAATAATTCCTTTTTAGTAAAAACATTTTAAAATGTCTGCTTCAACAGCTGTACAGCCATGTTGTTAACTAATGAGCTATGATTGTACGAAATTTTCCTGGAATGTATTATTTTTAAAAAATTAAACCACTAAAAATTTTGCTTATTTGGTAAGACTATATGAGGAAATCAGATAAATTTTTGTAGGGACTGAGTGCTAATAAGCAAATGTTTAGAGAGTATAGAATAATTTTTGGGAAAAATTTGTCTGTCGTTCCCGCTTTACAGTTAGTGTGAATGATCAGGGGGCCATGCTAGTTTCGAGTAAAGAAAAATGGGTTCAATTTTGGAATAGATTTTAGCATATCTTGGGAAGTATATGGAATTTCAGAATAAACTTTGGTAGTAATGTAGTTTGTTTATACATGTATGTGAAGAAATGTGAATAGATTGTGCAATTTTAAATTAATTGATTTATCAATATTTCATTGGCAACAGTAGGTACCCTATTTGAGGAGTTCCAGACCTTTATTTTTTTTTGTGTAACCCCAGTTTTGTCAGTCGGATTAAAGTGATCTAAAGGCCTATGATCTGGATCAATGGATTTTTAGCTCACCTCAACAAAGTGGGGGGGGGGGGGGGGGGGGCTTATGTACCAAGTGTAATATATTTAAAAATTCAGCTTTTAGATAATTCATAAAATTTTCAAAAATTACAAATCAAAAGAATTTGAAGGTAAAGACAATGAAGTCAGCAACATCATTGCTAGCCAAGTTTTTAAAATGCATTATTGGAACACTTTGAGTGATTTGTCAATTCTTGTTTGGCTGTTTAATTAAATACCTTACTGTTGTATATTTTAAAAAATACCTTTATGTGAACTGAAGTCATAAATTAGAGTTGTGTAAATTTTAAGTAAAAGGCTTCGGCTTGTTTAAATTGAACTGTTTTATTTTAGATATGAAAGGAATTATATAAAACTGTATTGCAATGCAACATGATTAGATTCATTTTTTTTTCTTCATGGTTTCAAATGTTTTCTTTTCAGAAAACCAGCCTGTATAACTCCTTCAGTGTTAAATGCAATCCTTCACTATTGCAAATTCTTTCTGTAAGGTATGTAAACAGTTGGAAAAAATCTATCAGCATACACCTTTTACATTTCAAGTAAGGTTTATCTTTTTTAGTGTTTGATTTGTCATAAATTCTGAAAAATTAACTATAAGAATTTTATAAGAAAAAAACATTTTGAAAATTTTTTCTATCTTTAATGACAGTAAAACTGTCACTGAACCCTCTAATTAACAATTTCAGTCCTTCCTATCAGTTACAATGTGGAATAAGCACAACTGATCAACAACAAACAAATGAAGAAGACGATCTCTACAGTAAAATCATGGTGGAGGTCAAAGGCCATGAACGCAAGGTTCTTGACAGTTACTACTGGTATCTGAAACAGACAGCATTTCATTTAGACCTTGGTCCCCATGACACGTAAGTTTACAAAGTATTCCATAAACTTGATTTCTTTCAAGGGTAACTATATCATATGCTAAAATAATTTGAATAGTCTTATGAAAATGATACTCAGATTTGTGTCTCGGGTTGTCAACCGCCTGGTGATTTCAAACACTGGCTATGTAAATACACTGTATATGATATAACTTAGTTTGAACTAACTTTAAACACTAATGGATTTTAAAAATTTCATTGGAAACTTTTGATTTTTAATGTCTCTGTGTTTATTTTCCTAAAAAGGGCTCTTATACAAATTTTGATAGGAAATAGTGAATCAATTTCATTTTTAAGAATTTTTTAAAGAATTTTAATAATAATTGAAATGGAACAATTTTATGACAGAATTTGAAAATGACTTTAAAAATTGATTTTGCTTTTAGATATGTTCAAAGAAAACCCACCTTTGATAAATTGACCTTAAATAAGTCAGTGCATATCTTCAAGAAGCACCGAGTGCAGTATGAAGCTAGAACACATGTTAGAACATTTATTGTAAGTTCACTGAGGTCTTTTTTTTCTTTTGCTTTTGTACCATGAACAAAAAATGTACCCATCTGATATAGATATGCCCAAAATATATCTCAGCATTATTATACGTACCTACTTGTAAAATTAAAAATGTTTTTTTTTTCACTTCCATAAAATGTTTTAATGGATGAAGATTTAAATAAAGCTACATCTGCTGTTTTTCAGTATTATAACCTCACCGGGTCAACAGCCAGAACATTTTTAGAATACATACAGAGAAACCTGCCAGAGGGTGTCGCCATGAAAATTACAAAGGTAAATAATTAGTTATATTAAGGACCCTCTATACACTGCACACTAGAGAGTTCTAATTCCATGGTATTCTTATACAGTTAGAGTGATCTGCCCTTAGTTATAGAATAAAATTACTGTAATTGAATTAAACAGTGCATTATTCAATTTGTAATCAATTCATGCATTCTTAACATTAGACCAAGATACATGTAAGATAATTGAACACTTTATTATGTTCCCCAAACGAAGTTTGGGAACATATTGTTTTTACTCTGTTTCTTATTAAGGTCTTCCGTCTTCACGGAAGACCTTATAGTGATTCTACTGTTTCTTATTATTATTATTATTATTATTATTATTATTTTTCATTTTTATTTTTCTGACCTTTTCAAATCGCGATATCTCAAAAACTACTCAATCATTTTCAGCCAAATTTTCAGGAATGATGTGTTATCTCATGCCATTTTGAAATATTGAAAAAGTTTGGAAAAATTCACTTCCGGTCAGGAATTATTACGATTTTTCACTTTTTCCACTAAAAATCTAGTCCGTGAATGTTCTCGGAAACTGTTAAAAGAAGGAGTCTGAAACTTTCAGGTATGATAGAAGGTGATTTGTAGATGTGTGATGGAAACATTTCGTGTGTCGTCGCCACTTCCGGTCGTCACAGGAAGTGATTTAAAGAGGGTAGTTTTTTGAACTTTTTTGTTTTTCATTATTTTTTTATGATATTTATAGGTTAAATAAAGAATCTTATCAGAATGCTAAATATGTAATTTATTCAAAAATGGATTAACCCGTACTCTAGATATTTATTGCTTGCTACTTTGATACGATGGTCTTTGATAGCGTAATGGTAAGCTTGTTGAATTTTCACGCAGGCAACTCGTATTCAATCCCCAGAATGTCCAAATTTTTTCACACTATTGTTTGGGCTCAAATGTAATATTTTATTTATATTTAAAGGGGGGGGGGCTATGTCGTTCAACATCAGAGCAATGGTGTTTGACTTCACAATGGCACTGTGTCTTTTTACTCCTTCATAAAGAGTTTGCAGTTAAATTTTGCACTATTCAATCCCCAAAATTCCGATTTTTTTCACACTGTTGATTGGGCTCAAATGTAATATTTTATCTTTAAAGGAAGGGGGGGGGGGGGGGGCTATGTCGTTCAACGTCAGAGAAATGGTGTTTGACTTCACAATGGCACTGTGTCTTTTTACTCCTTCATAAAGAGTTTGCAGTTAAATTTTGCACTATTTAATCCCCAGAATGTCCGATTTTTTTCACACTGTTGTTTGGGCTTAAATGTAATATTTTATCTTTAAAAGGGGGGGGGGGGCTATGTCGTTCAACGTCAGAGCAATGGTGTTTGACTTCACAATGGTACTGTGTCTTTTTACTCCTTCATAAAAAGTTTGCAGTTGAACTTTGCACTAATTAATGTGCATATGTGTGTGATATGACAAAATAAGGTAAAAATGTTAATGTAGCTAGGTACTTATGAAATTGAATCACAAATCGGAGATTTGCCAAATTAAATTTTGAAAGTAGAATTTATTATTTTCTCATCTTGATTGAATAAAAATAGCAATTTCAAATGAGAGGGAACTTCAATGACATTTAGTTTAGAGCAAGATCCGTCATAATTAAGAGCTCAAAGCGACTTAGCGGATAAAGGTATGGTTAATTAATGGTATACAGTATTAACACAATGAAACACATAAAAATCTGTATACTTGAAACAGTATGTGAAAAAATATGCTTTCACGTAAAGTGTCAATCATTTTGTTATGCGTGTGTGGTGCTGACTCAGGGGGTGGGGGGGTGGGGGTGGGGGTAACCTGAAATGCATGAAATCGGGTCTTGAATTAAAAAAATATTTAACATAATTTTATATTTTGTACAATTAAGTGTGAGAATCTCAAAGTTTAAAAAAATTCACACAAATATGTTTTGGAACATAGGTCCTCCCCCCTCCTTAAAATGATATCTCGTATTTTTTTCATTCCAGTTTTGCAATATTTTCAAAATATAAACGTTTAATTATATTTTATGTATGATTGATTGATTGATTATATGTTGATTTAAGTCCCATTCGAGAATTTTTCACTCATATAGAGACGTAACCACCGGTGAAGGGCTTCAAATTTAGACTTTTACTCGGCACTCAGGGCCATTGAGCAGTGAGGGATCTTTATCGTGCCAACACCTGCCGTGACACGGGGCCTCGTTTTTAAGGTCTCATACAAAATATCCGCAACTTTCATTTCAAAGTGCCGAGCGCATGGCCAAGGAACTATTTTTTGTATGAAGGTGTGACAGGAAATGCACAACATAACATGTTGTATAAAGAGGAATCAACATCTATGAAGACAGAGAAGGGACGGAAGACCTTCTTGTTGCCATGGCAACAAGGTTTCTAGTTATTATTATTAAGGTCTTCCGTCTTCACGGAAGACCTTATAGTGATTCTACTGTTTCTTATTATTATTAGGGTCTTCCGTCTTCTGCGGAAGACCCTTCTATTATTCTATTGTTGATTTTTCACTTTTCTTTTTATTATTAGGGTCTTCCGTCTCCAACGGAAGACCCTTCTATTATTGTATTGTTTCTTTTTCACTTTTATTATTATTATTATTATTATTATTCCACTTTTTCTTTACAATTTTTGTGCAGAAGATATCTCGCAAACGGTTTGATCGATTTTCATGAAATTTTCAGGGGTAATGCCTTTTGATCTGAAGATGATCCTTTTTTGTTCAAATCCTTAAAATTCACTTCCGGTCTGAAGTTATCGCCCTTTAATCGATTTTCAGATAACCATTTTGTCGACACAAAAACTAAAAAACGGCAAAAGCTAGAGCGCTGAAATTTTCAGCGATTATAGACGACATGTTGAAGTTTTGCACCTGGGTTTTCAAATTTTCCGGAAGTACCTAGTATGGACGCTCGGTAGGGGTCGAAATTTAGGACATGAATCAGAAGTGAATTTTCGAGACATTTTTTATCATATCTCTAAAACTATAGAAATTTTCTAAAAACATATAGGATAGAAATTGTGTAGAATTACAAGATCTTTTATATGATATCAAAGAAAAAGGGCTGACTCATCACATTAGGGGCTGAGCAGGGCCAAAAGTCTTTAATCAATAACTCTTTAACGATCAATATTTTGTAATGCATTACTGAAGCAAAAATGTTTAACTCAACAATTTACAACTATATATTATAAAATTCACATCATATGTTACATAATTAGGGGCCATTAGGGGCCAGAATGCAAAATCTTTGACGTTTTATATTTCAAAAGTGGGAAATATTTTGATAAGCAATATTGAACAAAAGATGTTCAAAATAATGATCTAAACAATATGCAACGTTTCATTTTTCTCTAAACGTCCCAATTAAGGAGTTAAAGGGCCGGCCCCTAAATACCTCTTTTGGTAATATCTCGGAAACGAAAAGGAATTTCTGAATGGTTGTTGAACAAAAAGTGTTCAAAATCATAAGAGCTTTAAAGTGATATGAAGAAAAAGGGGCTGGCCCCTCAAAATAAGGGCCGAGAGTGACCGAAAGTCTTTAATCAATAACTCGTTAACGATCAATATTTTGTGATGCATTCCTGAAGCAAAAATGTTAATATTAACGATTTACAACTACATGTTATGATATTCACATTATATGTTACATAATTAGGGGCCATGAGGGGCCAGAATGCAAAATCTTTAACGCTATATATCTCGAAAGTGTGAAATATTTGATATGCAATACTGAAAAAAAGATGTTCAAAATAATGTTCTGAACAATATGCAACCTTTTATTTTTTGCTTAACGTCCCCAATAAGGAGTTAAAGGGTCGGCCCCTAAATACCTCTTTTGCTAATATCTCGGAAACGAACAAGAATTTCTGAATAGTTGTTGAACAAAAAGTGTTCAAAATCATAAGAGCTTTAAAGTGGTATGAAGAAAAAGGGGCTGGCCCCTCAAAATAAGGGCCGAGAGGGACCGAAAGTCTTTAATCAATAACTCGTTAACGATCAATATTTTGTAATGCATTGCTGAAGCAAAAATGTTAATATTAACGATTTACAACTACATATTATGATATTCACATTATATGTTACATAATTAGGGGTCATATGGGGCCAAAATGTAAAATCTTTAACGCTATATATCTCAAAAAGTGTGAAATATTTTGATATGCAATACTGAACAAAAGATGTTCAAAATAATGTTCTGAACAATATGCAACCTTTTATTTTATGCTTAACGTCCCCAATAAGGAGTTAAAGGGCCGGCCCCTAAATACTTCTTTTGCTAATATCTCGGAAACGAAAAAGAATTTCTGAATAGTTGTTGAACAAAAAATGTTCAAAATCATAAGAGCTTTAAAGTGATATGAAGAAAAGGGGACTGGCCCCTCAAAATAGGGGCTGAGAGGGGCCGATAGTCTCTGATGAATAACTCTTTAATGCTCAACATTTTGTAATTCATTACTGAAGCAAACATGTTTATCTCAGCAATTTACAACTATATATTATAATATTCACATCATATGTTACATAATTAGGGGCCACAAGGGGCCAGAATGACAAATCTTTGGCACTCTATATCCCGAAATTGGGAAATATTTTGATCAGCAGTGTTGAATAAAAGATGTTCAAAATAAGGTTTTAAACAATATGTAACCTTTTCATTTTTGCGAAACGGCCCCATTAAGGAGTTGAAGGGCCAGCCCCTAAATATTTCTTTTGCATATATCTCGGAAGCGAAAAAGAATTTCAGAATAGTTGTTGAACAAAAATGTTCAAAATCATGAGAGCTATAGGAAGATACAAAGAAAAAAGGACTGGTCCCTCAAAATAGGGACCAGGACGGGCCCAATGTCTTTAATCTATAACTTTTTAATGATCAATATTTTAATACACACTACTGAAGCAAAATTTTCGTCTTAATTTATTTTTATCATCATATTTGAACAAAAATCTCAGTCAAATTCTGACTTCATCTTATCAAAAA